CGAACTTAGGTCTCTCTGTCCTTAAGGCATGCAATTAAAAAATCTTCGTTTTACAAAAAAAAAAAAAAAAGAAAGGGAGTTAGGAGGAGGAGACGGATGAGGGTGTTTTGAAGAGGGAGAGTGATCCTGAACAGGAAGAGAAGGATGACGAGAGACGGTGTGAGTCAGAGGACCTGACTTTGGAACCTTGCGGGCTTTCCCCTTCTTGGTTCTTGCGTCCCTGCAACTTTTCCTTGCTATTCGGTGGCTTTATGAACCCGAGCTCTTGGCTCTGGAGGAGCCAGCTCACAGGCCTGGGCCCCATGGGTGGTTTGGAGAACTGGTTGAACTGCGGTTCGGTCGAGGGTGGTGTCTTGGGATACTGTGTTTGGCGGGGATGAAGGACTGCGGCCCCCGCGGCCGTGGATAGAAAGAACCCTCTTGCAAGCGGCTGCCATTTCTTCTGAAGTGCTGCTACTTCCTTTTCCATCTTACCCATGCGCGGCAAAGCCTTTGTCCGGTCGTCTAGAATGGGGAAGTGATGTTTATTGTTTCCTTGCACTCTTAGCCTTAAACAAAACACAATCAGAAAAACCAAAACATCCTTTTCTCCAGCAAGGTCTGGCACTCTGGATTGCTTGCAGAGAAAGCTTTCGGTTGCGTTTATCATTTACTTGCTCTTCAGAGCTTTCCTGGGTTAGTAAGCAGCTTTGTTTTGGAGAAGTTTCCACTGTAGATCATTGGGGGGCGAACTGCACAGTTTGTTCTACAGATGAGTGCAGGGCAGAGACCTCAGTAACTCCTGGGTGACCTTCTTATACGGTGTAGTACTGGGAAACAGCAGGTATCAGGGCTTGTATTTTGCTTTCATGTAGAGTAGCTCATGTGGCAGTCAAGTTTTAAAGTCAGCCTGCAAGGCAAGCAGTGCATGCAACCAAAATTATCCTTAAAAATTCCTTAGGAAGGTGTGGAGTTGGAGGTGGCCATAGTGTTTCTCAGTAAATCCAGCACAGTCATTTTTCCTTCTGTTTTGAAACTTGTTACTATTTCTTTGGTTGTAACCCAGGTAGAGTAATTAGGTTTACTTTTAGGGGCCGTGTTGCACAAATATAAGTGAATGGCATAGAGTCATTCTGCACTGTGAGGTGCACTGTGCAGTGCTGGCTCTGAGAGGCTTAGAAGGAGGAAGACTAATTACCAAGGGGAATGGTATGTTTGTGATCCCCATTTTAGGCTCATACTGGAGCATGTGCTCACTGAGTGGAAAGTGGCAGGCAGAATTGCCAGTATTATTTTATTATTATTTCTTTTTTGGCTAGCATATCCAGTAATTTATGCTAAGTTAAATGTGTGCAATGTGATTCCTTTTCATTGTGTGGCACTACATTTGGGGCTTGCAAGTTTTCCTAGGTAAGGGTTTGGTGGAAGAATATCTTAAATGTTTTGCCACTGGTTTGGTTTTGACTTCCTTGTTTGTCAGATATGTATAACAATGGTTAGCTTTTAAAAATAATCCAAAAAAAATTTTAAATTATAGTTGATGTACAGTGTTATATAAGTTACAGATGTACAACATAGTGATTCACAATTTTTAAACGTTATACTCCATTTACAGTTACTATAAAATATTGGCTATATTCCCTGTGTTGCACAATATATCCTTGTAGCTTATTTTTTACATAATAGTTTGTACCTCTTAATCCCCAACCCCTATATTGTAAAAAAGAATTTTCTTGGAAATGGAAGCCATGGACACTACCTTTTAAAATTGTCTCTGCATTTCAGTTTTCTTATCTGTAAAGTGTAGAGAAAGATAGTACTGTACAAAGTTATTGAGAGTTTTCTTCACTGTTATTTTGAAGTAAACCCTGCATTTCATATTGTATCACTTATAACTCTTTTTCATTATCTCTAAAAGGTAAGAACTCTTTTTAAAAAAAAAAAACCATAACCACAGTATAACACCAGAAAGAAAAAAAAAGCAAAATAAACAAAACCCTGAAATAAAATACCCAAATCAGGCACTGTTCAGACTTCTACTTGTCTCAAAAATGTTATAATTTTTTTTTCCTATCACTTGTTTAGAGCAGGGTTTAATTTAGGTCTGTATGTTTTGATTGACTGATAGGTCTCCTGAGAGTCTTTTACTTTTATTTCTTGTAATTTATTTGTTGAAGAAGCTGGGTTCTCTAGTTTCGTATAGAAGTTTCTGGATTTTGCTGATTGCATTTCTCTGGTGTCATTTAATATGCTTCTCTGTCTGCATTTTCTGTACATTGGTAGTTAAATCTAGAGGCTTGGTCAGATTCACGTTAGATTTTTTTTTGGTCAAGACTGTTTCATAGTGGTGATGTGTTGTTTTGAGGCACATAATACCTGGTGGTCTCTTTTTGTGATGATTACAGCTCTAGTGATTATTTTAACAACTTTATTGAGATATAGTTTACATACTATAAAACTCACCCATTTTCATGTAAAACTCAGTGATTTTTAGTAAATTTACTGAGTTGTGCAATAATCATTTTAATGGAGTTTGGGAACATTTCTTGTCACCTCATGAGGTAAGATACCTCATTCCCATTTATATAACTCTCAGTCCCATCCCACCATGTAGTCTTTTCTGCCTTTATAGAGTTGCCTTTTCTGGAAATTCCGTGTAAATGCCATTATGATTATTGCCCAGATCTCTAAATTCATTAGGGGTTACAAAACGGTGATAGTCTGTCATTCCCTATTTATTTTTATTTATACAACTTTTATAAAGAGAAACTTTCCTTCAACTATTTGGTTACTTGGGGTTACAGTTTATATAGGAAAGACAAGATACGTATTTTTAAAAATAAGTCCATTCATTAGCATTCTCCAATGGTGGCCAAGTAAATTTATTTTCTTAGTTCATTATGAACTCCTGGATTTAAATCTCTATCTGAAAAGTCGTGATGCATCGTAGTAATTATCCATAATGATGTTCATATCATATTTTATTTGATGAGAGGGAGCCTCTTCATATTGTTTCCTGAGTTCTTCTGATAAAACCTTAAGAGCTTCTTAGCTGGGGAGCCTTGTTCTAAGGGTTGAATGTAAATATCTAATTGCCCTCTTTTTAAGTCTGCTCTTTGCTGCTTGGAGGCCAGAGACATTTTTTGCTTGAGTCCCTTTAGTTGCTTTTGCTTTTATGGAGATGTTTCAATTAGTGATAACCCACTTCCCCTAAAGTAGTTTATGGTTGTGTTTAAAGTGACACCAAAAAGGGAGTGCATTGTTTCAGTTAGGGAAATAAGGAAGCGAAGTGGTACTGATTTAACATTAATGGGCATAGAAATGGTTTTATGCCCTTTTGCAGGGGAAAACCTTAAGCATGGTTTAGAATCTAAAGTTCTGAGCCCCAACATTTTCTTTTTTGTCTTTTTGGCCTTGCTGCGTGGCTTGTGGGATCTTAGTTCCTCGACCAGGGATTGAACCTGTGGCCCCCTGCGGTGAGAGAGCTGAGTTCTAACCACTGGGCCGCCAGGGAATTCCCCCAACATTTTCTTAATTATGGTCAGATAGGGGAATTTACTACACACTCAGTCTGAACTTCTGCCATTTTCTGATGTTCTTGATTTCTTCATCTGCATGCCTTTCATTCATGCCCATTGTGTATAGAACAAAAATGAGAAGAAATGGATTCTGCCTTTAAGAAGTGTTCACCCATATTTGTTAGGAAGCTACCACAGTCTACTTAAGTTTCAGAGTAATTACAGTAAGTCTACTATAATTTCAGAGAAGCATCTGTAAAAATGTAGAGTAACTTGAATAAATGGAATCTTCAAGGGTTGGTGACAAACCGATAGATTGTTTTCCCAGAAGTGTCTCAGAGAAATGATGCCACTTGAGAATGGCAATTTTGTTTTGATCCAGATTCTTATTGTTGTATCTGCTTATCTTGAAAGTAGAAAGCAAAGGTTTGTTTTACTCTTTCTAGGAATTGTTCCTTAAATATATGCGCTGGAGCCCACTCTTACATTGTGTTGAGGATCTGTGCGTGGGCTTGCGTTTTAAGGAAATCCCCTTATGATAAGCTCCGTTTTGTCTTTTTATAACTAAGCGTATCATTGCTATAATAACAGTATTACTCTGAGGCTGAACCATGTTGAGTTTTATTGTGTAGAATACTGTTGCCTCCCCAGTTTCCTCCCAGAATATACACTGTAAATCATTCTGCTGCTGGTTGAATTATTTATACCTGCTGTCTTCTCTATTTTTATTGTTGAATTGATACTTAGTTTCTTTATAATATTGTATGTTGAAAAGTAGACATTAATAAATTCTGATTTTCATTGTGGTTGTTCAACTTGGGATTGGTTTTTACAGCTTACATCTCTCACTTCATGATCTATTTGCCTCTCGTTGTATTTGACTTTTGGATTGTTGGGAAAAAGAATTTCCTTTTTTGGGGGAGTGGAGGGGCAAGTCCCACGTCCATATTCATCGTATGGTGTTAGGACTTCAGTGTGAGAGTTCAGGTCCACATTCTTTCAGGCTTTTGGAGATCCCAGTACATTTAAACTGGCTAAAGTGATTCCTTTAGAAATGTTTCCATGATTTGGTCCCTGTGCAAAGTGATGTGAAAGTCATGGTAAGGGCATATTTGTGTCAACAGGGGACTATTTTAGTCTTTAGGTAGTCTGGAGAGGGCTCAAAAACTGGTTTAGGGCAATGGTTTCATTTCTGTGCTAAAGGGTAGCTTGGGCAAAAGTTTCTTCATGTTTCTTAAGTAATTTTATTTTCTTCAGGTTAAAGAACTGAGGGAGGGAGAGTGAGTGTGTGTGTGTGTGTGTGTGTGTGTGTGTGTGTGTGTTTGTGTCTGTTTTGACAAAGGCAGATTCCCTCATCATATAAAATGGAGAATAAATATAATAGTCCTAATGTTTTAGCTTAAGCTGATGAAGTGATGGTAAAATACTGTTTTGATATCTTTGTTAATGTCTTAATGCCAGTATGTAAATTAATGTGATTTCAAAATGTGTTTTTGAATGTAGATCAGATCAACCATTGACATAGTCCCCTCTAACATAGTCAGCTGAAAGCGACTTCAAGTTTCTTCAGGATGCCTGCGGCACTTGTGGAGAACAGCCAGGTCATCTGTGAAGTCTGGGCCAGCAATCTAGAAGAAGAGATGAGGAAGATCCGAGAAATCGTGCTCAGTTACAGTTATATTGCCATGGTAAAGAGCTCTACTCTGTTTGACTCACCTTCTGGTATGGACTTAGGGAATATTTAATGGGAGATTTTTGAAAGAAATGATTATACTAAAGCCATGGTAAATTAAACGTGATGGAAGGTTATATTGCTTTTATGAAACATCAAGGTAGCCTGTGTGTCTGAAAAGGATGTAACCTCTAGTATCTAGTGTTTATGATGTTACTTTTGTCTGCAAGTCTTTAAGCAGAAGTTGTCTCAGTCCATAGGGCACATCTGTTCCACAGGTATGGTGAATTTGACTGGCAGCGTTAAAGCAGTTTTTAAAAAGTAGTTGCCAACATTTAAAAATCAAGAGACCTTACTTAAATTCCAGATTTCTGGTATCTGGAAGAAATGGAGAGATCTGGCATTATAGGGTCTGCATTCCTGCCTGACACTGAGTGGCTGGAGGGAGGCACGTATCATAGTGATATCAAGAGCCTCTTTTAGGGGTGGCATGTACCCTTTAGTTTGCTCCAGTCCCCATTACTCATAACCATTTTAATACCCTGCACACTTTACTCTGTTACGTTAGCTGCCTGGAGTTTGCAACTCCTGCTGTGGAGGGTGTAGAATTATGTCTTTAGCCTGGTATTCAGAACTCTCTGATCTTGTTCCAGGCTTTTTACTTTAAGCCAAATGTGGCTATTTATTACTTTTGTTGAATGGCTGTTTCACTTTCCTGTATTTGCATTTTTATTTATATAGTGTTTTGTTCTCAACCTAGACTGTTCCTAATTAACTGTATATGAACCTAGAATGTTCTTTTTTTTTTTGGCAGGGTGGGGGGCGTGCTGCGTGGCTTGTGGGATCTTAGTTCCCCAACCAGGGATCGAACCATTGGACCGCCAGGGAATTCCCGAACCTAGAATGTTCTTAATAGACCTAGAGTTAGTCAACTACTTCTATTCACATCCTGCTTAGGATCTCCAAGTTGTTGTGTAAAGCTTCATGTTTCTAGTGCTCCTTCTGTATACATCAATGAAATCAGTATTTTAAGGTGAATTTTTGTGCCTGAGCTTGGGGCTTCTCACATAACTTTTATAAATTGAGGTAAAACTTTTATTTATGAATGGTCAAGTCAGCATTCAGTGTTTTTTTTTTTTTCCCCCAGCATTCAGTGTTTTGTGAAACCTTACAATGAAAGATTTTTTCCTTTTCTAGGACACAGAATTTCCAGGTGTTGTGGTGCGACCCATTGGTGAATTTCGTAGTTCCATAGATTACCAGTATCAGCTTTTACGGTGCAATGTTGACCTTTTAAAAATTATCCAGCTGGGCCTTACATTCACGAATGAGAAGGGAGAATATCCTTCTGGAATCAACACTTGGCAGTTCAACTTCAAATTCAACCTTACGTAAGTGTCTGAGACACTTCTCAATGTTATTCTTAGATTTGCTACATTTGTACAGACTGATTTCTAACTGATTTTATTAATTTTAAGTTTTGTTTTCACCAAACCCAAGTAGGGGGTTGGAGAGAGTAGTCAAGCAGAAGATGGAGTAAAGAATCTCAAAAAGTAAAGTCCCTCTTAAAGAACTCTTACAAGTCGACAATAAAAAGACAGCCTAATTAAAAATGGGCATAAGGGGGCTTCCCTGGTGGTGCAGGGGTTGAAAGTCCGCCTGCCGATGCAGGGGACACGGGTTCGTGACCCGGTCCAGGAAGATCCCACATGCCGTGGAGCGGCTGGGCCTGTGAGCCATGGCCGCTGAGCCTGCGCATCCGGAGGCTGTGCTCCGCAACGGGAGAAGCCACAACAGTGAGAGGCCTGCGTACTGCAAAAAAAAAAAAAAAAAAAATGGGCACAAGGACTTCCCTGGTGGCACAGTGGTTAAGAATCTGCCTGCCAATGCAGGGAACACAGGCTTCAGCCCTGGTCCGGGAAGATTTCCTGTGCCACGGAGCAGCTAAGCCCATGCGCCACAACTACTGAGCCTGTGCTCTAGAGCCTGTGAGCCACAGCTACTGAGCCCGCAAGCCACAACTACTGAAGCTCGCCTGCCTAGAGCCTGTGCTCCGCAACGAGAAGCCACTGCAATGAGAAGCCTGCACACTGCTACGAAGAGTAGCCCCTGCTCGCCGCAAACAGAGAAAAGCCCGTGCGCAGCAACGAAGACCCAACACAGCCGTAAATAAATAAATAAAAAAATAAAATGGGCACAAGATCTGAATAGACATTTCTCCAAAGAAGATTTAGAAATGGCTAGTAAGCTTATGAAAAGATGGTCACCACCATTAGTCATTAGGGAAATGCAAACCAAAACCATGAGATACTACTTCATACCCACTAGGTGGCTGTGATCAAAAAGACATAATAACAAATGTTGGTGAGGGTGTGGAGAAATTAGAACTCTCATACATTGCTATTGGGAATATAAAATGATGCAACCTCTTTGGAAAACAGGCAGTTTCTCAAAAGGTTAAAAATAGAGTCACCGTATGACCCAGCAATTCCATCCAAGAGAAATGAAGACATACATCCGTGTAAAAACTTGTATGTGAGTGTTCATAGCAGCATTATTCATAAAGGCCCCAAACTGGAAACTGTCCAAATGTCTGTGATCTGAGGAATGGCTATATGTGGTATATCCATGCCATGGAATGTTACTGCACAGTACAGAGAGATAAAGTACTGACATATGCTATACATGAATGAGTTTTGAAAACATGCTAAGGGAAAGAAGCCAGACACAAAAGATCACATTCTTAACCCCTGCACCACCAGGGAAGTCCTGCTTTTCATTAAATAATGAGAAAATGTGGATCTTTCATAATTAAGATACTTATTTTGTGGGGCAAAAATCCCATTTTTCTTTCTGTCACAGGTAAGATTACTTTGTGTGTTTGCTAGAATACTGGAAGGAATGAATTGATTTATTCTTAAATTATGAAAGTATTTCAAGAATACTTACTCTAGGGACTTCCCTGGTGGCACAGAGGTTAAGAATCCACCTGCCAACGCAGGGGACATGGGTTTGAGCCCTGGTGCAGGAAGATCCCACATGCTGCAGAGCAACTAAGCCCGTGCGCCACAACTACTGAGCCTGTGCTCTAGAGCCTGCGAGCCAGAACTGCAGAGCCCGCGTGCTGCAACTACTGAAGCCCCTGCGCCTAGAACCCGTGCTCCACAACGAGAAGCCACTGCAATAAGAAGCCCACGCACCACGACGAAGAGTATCCCCCATTCGCCACAATGGAGAAAGCCCGCATGCAGCAGTGAAGACCCAACATAGCCAAAAATAAATAAATAAAATAAATTAAAAAAAAAAGAATACTTATTCTATAATTTATAAGGTGATGGTAATATTGTTGCCCACTACTTCTGTTACCTTACCAGCAGCTAAGAAGTAAACACCTTCTCTTTTTAGAGAGGACATGTACTCCCAGGATTCCATAGATCTCCTTGCTAACTCAGGACTGCAGTTTCAGAAGCATGAAGAGGAAGGGATTGACACATTGCACTTTGCAGAGCTGCTTATGACATCAGGGGTGGTTCTCTGTGACAATGTCAAATGGCTTTCATTTCACAGGTCAGTCTCAAGAGAGTGTTTCTCTCTCCCTTTGGAAGCAAGAATTGAATTCTTATGTTATTTTTGCAGTCCTCTTGGCGCTCTTTTGTTGCTCACTAGCAGTTATAAAGTTGAAATGGTAACAGTTGCTCACATGTCAGTTTTTCAGAAAACACTTTGGAGCGCATACTGGTTTCTTTCACACAGTACTAGGCTGTATCATGTGGCTGCAGTGGGCATATGTCAAGTGGAAAGATGGAGGGTGGGAAGGATGGAAGTACTTGGTCATCTTTTTCTTGTCATTTAAATGGCTGGCCTGGAGTTTCCTGGGTACTCAAAAGCCAAATTCCCCTTAGGAGAAGTTATTTTACCTTTCAATACCTTTTCTTTTTTTTTGGTCGCCCCGCCTGGCTTGTGGGATCTCAGTCCCCAAACAGGGAGTCAACGTGGGCCACAGCAGTGAAAGTGCCAAATCCTAACCACTAGCCCACCAGGGGACTCCATACCTTTCAGTACTTTTGAATTTTTGATGAATAAAACCCCCATTTATAAACCCTTGGGTTCTCTTATATATCTCCCATATTAATCTGTTATGTGGTTATTTAGTGGAAAGTTCAGAGGACAGGATAAACTACTTTGGAAAACTGAAAGTTCCTAACATGAGGTAGCATCGTAAGTTCTGAGAAATAAAGCAGTTGAATGCTGGGGCCTGTTAACTCCTGCCCTTTCACCTTACTGCCTCATTCTCTCCTCGTAGTGGCTATGATTTTGGCTACATGGTTAAGTTACTTACGGATTCTCGTTTGCCAGAAGAGGAACATGAATTCTTTCACATTCTGAACCTTTTCTTCCCATCCATTTATGATGTGAAATACCTGATGAAAAGTTGCAAAAATCTTAAGGTACACAATATTTTTCTTAATAGTAGTAACGACAACAAGACAAAAATGCAGACTTGTCATTTTGCTTTATTGCAGTTTGTTCAGCATGTGTCCTTCAGTACCTGCTAGGTGCCAGCATGGTGCTAGACAGGGTATATATAGAGATGATTGGCAGAGAGATTTGTGTGGTAACTGTCTTTAACCTGGGCATGAAGGGAGCCTTCTGCTACTCTCACCCTAAGGCAGGCATTCTTCACTTAGGGCCCACGAACCTAGTGAAACAGTTGGAGACACGAGGTATATGTATGATTTGCTAGGAATGAGGTCTACAGTGTACCAGACTCTCAGAGGGGTTCTTAGCTCTAGACAATTTAAGAACTCCCTCCTCTAATAAATTGTTGATATAAGAGGTTTGCCATCTAGAATTGGATTGGCATTTACTATTTCCCCAACCTTATTTTACAGCAGTGAGGACTTTCAGGGGCGGAGGTCTGACAAAACTAACGATACAGAAAAGAATGAAAGGAGTGAAAAGTGGAATATAACACAGTGTATCATTTGGAGGGCTAAAAAGGGGATACTGCTGGGGAAGACCTGTTAAGTAAATGGCCTGTTCCTACTTCCTGTCACCACAAGAAGTAAACTCAAGAATAGACATAGTTGACTCCAGTAGAGAAGTCGGGTCTGTAATATTATATTTGTTTTCCTTACATCTCCAGGGAGGTCTTCAGGAAGTTGCTGATCAGTTGGATTTGCAGAGAATTGGAAGGCAGCACCAGGCAGGCTCAGACTCACTGCTAACGGGAATGGCATTCTTCAGGATGAAAGAGGTAAGGCAAAGGTTTTTTGGGCTGAGGTTTGTTGAAAATTTATAGTTTCTCTTGGAAGTTGGTGATCACCTTGAAAGCAGTGGGTTGTTTTTTTTTTTTGGTTTGTTTGTTATGCATGTGTTCAGTATATTAGATGTGATTTGGGAGGCAAAGAAGCATTCTGAAATGGACGTCACTCAGAAGTGTACTTGGTGTTCCTAGCACCTCTCATCCTTGCAATTATTTGCTTTTCTTTTGATTTCTATAATATGAACACATTTGTGAACCTACCCACTTATTTTATGCTAAGTTCTATTAATTATCAAATGTCCCACAGCTAACATCATATTCAGTGGTGAAAAGCTGAAAGCTTTTCCTCTAAGATCAGGAACAAGACAAGGATGCCCACTGTCTCCACTTTTATTCAACATGTTATTGGAAGTCCTAGCTGGAGCAGTTAGGCAAGAAAAAGAAATACGAGGCATCCAAATCAGAAAGGAGGAAAACTGTCACTGTTTGCAGATGACATATATAGAAAACCCTAAAGACTCCACCAAAAAACTGTTAGAGCTAATAAACGAATCCAGTAAAATTGCAGGATAAAAGGTTAATATAAAAAATATGTTGTTTCTATACGCTAATAGTGAACTATCAGAAAGAGAAATTATGAAACAATCCCATTTACAATTGCATCAAAAAGAATAAAATAACCTTGGAATAAATTTTACCAAGGAGGTGAAAGACCTGTATACTGAAAACTCTAAGACATTGATGAAAGAAATTGAAGAAGACACAAACAAATGGAAAGATATTCTGGGCTCATGGATTGGAAGAATTAATATTGTCAAAATGTCCATACTACCCAAAGTAGTCTACAGATTGAATGTAATCCTGATCAAAATTCCAGTGGCATTTTTCACAGGAATAGAAAAAATAATCCTCAAATTTGTATGGAACCACAAAAGACTCCAAATAGCTGAAGCAATCTTGAGGAAGAAGAACAAAGCTGGCAGCATCATGCTCCCAATTTTGCCCTCTGAGGTACCTTTGGCAATGTCTGGAGACATTTTCGGCTGTCATAACCTGTGGGAGTTGGGTTGTGTGCTACTAGCCAGGGATGCTGCTGAACATCCTACAGTGCTACAACACACTGGACAACCTTGCTCGCCCCCCAGCAGAGAATTATCCTGCCTAGTAGTGCCCAAAAGGGTGAGATACCTTGCTGTGTATGTGCTTCCTGTCCATTTTCTCACTCGTAACAACCTATTATTATATTACCCATTTTATGGATAGGAAACCGTGGCTTAAGGAGCGTTGAAGTGATTTTTCTAAGATCACATAGTGAGTCAGTCTGAGTCTAGAGCTCAAGCTCTTCACCATTGCACTGCCTGTTAAAGAGAAGGGAGGAGATAGAGGCAGTTGTATTAAACAGCAACAGCAGCACAGGGATCCTGGCAGTAAAAACTCATGGAAAGTGGAAGTCTATTCAGAAAGGGGAGCCTATGTAGAGAGAAAGGAGCATGAAAAGACTGTGTAGGAAAGGTTTGGAGCCTTTCTTGATGAAGTTAGTTTCTAGTTGGCTAGGTTTTCAAGGCTTTAAGAGAGCTGGGAGGTGTTGAGGTAGTAGTATTGCGGCTTGGCCTGATTCTTGGCATGACTCTTGGCATGATTCTCACCAGGGGTTCTCTGTCCTATTCTGCAGTTGTTTTTTGAGGACAGTATTGATGATGCCAAGTACTGTGGGCGGCTCTATGGCCTAGGCACGGGAGTGGCCCAGAAGCAGAATGAGGATGTGGACTCTGCCCAGGAGAAGATGAGCATCCTGGCAATCATCAACAACATGCAGCAGTGACGGCGGCGAGGCTCTGCAGGGTGGGCCTGGTCCCAGAGTGGTGCTTAATGTGCCGACTGTGTGTACTTATCTTCCTCCCCAAGAGAAGACGCTTCTTTTGAGCAAACTGTACCTACCATCTGCGTTGACAGAAAGACTTTTGTTTTACTGAAGACAAAAGATGTCTTTTAGATCCGGAAGAAGGGAGTTTGCTCTGAATCTGTAAACACGTCTTCCCTATTCCTCATCCCTAAGCCTCTCTTCTCCAGTTGCCTCCTGCCACCAGCATCCATGGCTCATTTGACACCTTCTAAAATCCAGGACAAGTCAGAAACAAACTAGTAAAATGTATATAACTCTTACCTGTGTCATTCTTTTTCTTTTAAATTTGTTGCTAATCTCTGAGGATGAAGACTTCTTGCTGTGATTCTCAGCTGAGCTGAGGGCTTCAAGGGAAAGTGGAACCAAGTGGTGGTCTTGTGAAGTGGGTTATAGATGTTGAACCTTTCCTTTCCTTCCTTCCTTTTCGTTTATTTTGACCCTTCTCGAGGACATTTGCTTTCCTCACACTTTGTTGGTCTTTATGTATTATTCCGTGGAAATGAATTACTCAGTGCTGAGATACGAAGACCAGATAATGAAAACTTTCCTTAAAAACAAAATTCTACTGAATCTGTCTACCCTTTATTCACAAGGAACTCCAGAATGGGTATTAAGTTAAGCACTTTCTTGAAGTCTGTGTTCCATTGCGCCACTGAGATTTGCTGTCACATGTGCATCATTTGAAATCATTTAAAGTTTTCATTTCATAAAATACCTTGGATTTGATCCCGAAGGAAACTACTAAGAGCAGGTTTTTGGATCATAAGTCTGTTACATTTTCAGTAATGTGATTTCAGATGGTCATCTGTATTCTCCTGCCTCTCTTCTGTTTTCCCTGCCTTTCCTTTTCAGCAAACTGAGGAGAAGTTAGGGAGATGGATTATGGTGAGTACCAGCAATGTGAGTCTTAAAAAGTTATAGTGGTTACATGTAAACAGGACAGTAAGGAATTTGGTTTATAGGGTTCTCTTGGAGTAATATCCCACAACTGGGGTAGGAAGCTCAGGACTGTGATTTTTTTTTTTTTAACTTATCATTTAAGAAGTACACTGTATTTTTTTTTTGAATGACTACAGTATGGACAATTTCAAAAAACCAAAAACTCCTTTGGAATAGTGGAAATGAAAACTGATAACTCACTGAAGTGGTTGAATAGTCTTGCATATTAAAAGCTTATGGAAAACTCAATTTAAAATGATTCAAAAGTGTCAAGTATTATAAGCTGGTATTTAAGATGCTTGTAAATATTATTTATGTTTTTAATTTTGTAAAATAAAGATTTCTTTTTAACCACTGGCATGAAGGTTTGGTCTTTCAAAGCTCTGAATTGCTGGCTTTAGAAGACGGTTGTTCGCTGTCAGTGATGTGGAAGCATCTTGTCTGTTCCCTGTCTCTTGCCTCCATTTTCCACAAGTTGGCTTGCATTACAGAATGTCTCACTTTGTAGGAAGCTTTTAACGAGCAGCTGTGTAAACGGAATTGTCCCTTTACTTCATACGCCTCGCTCATTATTGGGCCTTACTAGAAAATCAGTTTTAATTCTACTTCCTGGTGCTACTCTATTATATATGGCAGATTCACTTATTAATTAGTGGACTTCTTTTGGATAAATTGAACGTCTGATATCCTAAACTTGGTTCAGGACTTTGTTTCCAATCCTGTCTATTGGCCCAAAAATGTGGGGTTGTAAGAAGTCAGGTACAGGAGCAGATCTAGGATTTTGACTGGGATGTTCACATACTGGAAGAGATATATTTATCGTAAGATTTGTGGTAGAGCAGCATAGGTCAGTGGTTCTCAACCAAGGTGCTTTAGCATGCTGGTGACTGTGAGCCCTACACATATATCCTTAACAAATTTGGATTTAAAATAGGTGTTTATTTTTGCCACAGTTGACAACAGGCTTACTGACATGTCAGGAGAAATGTTGAGATGAAGGGTTGAGGAACTAAGTGTTGAGTAGGGGTGTGCTCATTGCATGGGAGAGATAAGAAACAGCTTATTAAAGTGGTGCTAAAGAAAGGGGCGCAAGTGTAGTGGAACTGTAAAGAACTTTGCCTTGTGTATATATATGAGTGTATGTAGGGCTGTGTTAGTGGTCATCCTCAGAAAGGGATGGTCCTGAAGAGTAACCAAGAGAATACTAACTATGGGTGTAATTCAGCCCCTCCATATACAGTAGTCTCCCCTTATCTGCGGGGGTTATGTTTCAAGACCCACAGTAGAGGCCTGAAACCATGGGTAGTACTGAGCCCTATAATGTATGCTTTGTGGTTTTCCTATACTAATGGGCAGGTAGTATATACAGCATGGGTATGCTGGACAAAGGGATGAGTCATGTGCTGGGTAGGACGGAGTGGGACTGCCGTGAGATTTCATCATGCTACTCAGAATGGCCACAGTTTAAAACTGATAAGTTGTCTATTTCTGGAATTTCCCATTTAATATTTTTGGACTGCTATTGACTGGGGGGTAACTGAAACTGTGGAAAGTGAAATCGTGGCTGACGGGGGGTGCTATTGTACTGCCAGATGTTCTTGAATTCCTGTGTTCTGCTAACGCAGTAAGGTCAACTACCAATCACAAGCCTTAGTTGTCAGCCAGTGCTGGTATCAGTGACCTCAGTTTAGAGTTCTTTAAGTCTAAGCTATTGATGAGCATTCTTTCTGTTTCCCAACTTATTCAGTTGAAAGTTTCCATTATGTACCCATTAGATACTAGACACTCTTGAGTGCTAGGGGTAAAATAGTAAAGGGAAGACATAATCTCTACCCTCAAACAAGAGTGTACATGTTTATGATCAGGCAAAGCATTTATAAAGGTAGCTTGTGTTTAAGAATGTAACACTTTGGGTGATTAAAATAGTTTCTCCTCTTTGGACGAAACCTGCATAAGGCTTTAGAGATTATCAACAATCACTTTGCAGGTGTTAGTTCTGAGTAACCACTGCTGGCTTTTCATGGTCTTTCTTCCAGTAGGAAACCACAATTGAGTCCAAAGTCAGATTTGTGTTTAAGTGTAGAGTTGATTAAAACTTGACTCTCATTTGTATTATCTGGATCACTGCAGAAACATACAGGGATCAAAGTGAATGTCTGGCGAGGTGTAAATGCAGAGGTGAAAGGTGTTGGATGTTTTGAATTTGGCACTGTTTCTTAGAGGTCCTTGAAAGTTCACGTGCAGAGGGTCTGGTAGTGTCGTTTGTAAACGTTAGTGCTGCCGTATTTCTGAAGGAGCTCTTGAGCCTGTTGCTGCATTTCCTGGGTCACGAAGCCAGAATACTGGGACCCGATGTGAAGCAGGATGAGGCAGCACTCCAGCACGTCTGGGAAGGGCCAGGTCTGAAAGATGACACGGGGATAAATAAGGAAGCATTTGCAAAAACAAAGTCACAGACACCTGCACAGAGGCATGAGTGTCTCAAGTCTTATCTCATGACACTTCTCTGGCACGGTTGAGCCATTTCTCTCCTAAGACTTCATCAGTTGCTCTAAGGAGAGATGATACTCAAAACTGAGATGTCCCTCTCAAATGATACAATCTTTTTCTAGAGCCCTACTCAAATGAATTTGAAACATGATGCTTCTGTTACTACTAGGGCCACATCCAAATATACCTATCCATTTGTAAGCGATCAAATACATGGTACCAACTGTAATTTTACTTTACCTCATCATTAGAAAATTTGTTACATTTCTCTGAAGGCTAAGGTATAAAATTGCTTGTGGTGTCAATAATTCTACTCTCACAAAACATTTTAGCTCACCGAAGGCAACTGGATCTTCAATTTTTAAGCACATACAAATGTGTACAGATTTCAGATGACATTAAAGAATTTGGTGTAGTCAATTGGTAATATAAAAAGTAATGTTTTACCAAATGAACTGCTATATAAATCTTACCTTAATACTCTCAGGAAACTTAGCTATTCTCTCATTGGCCTCTGTAATCCTTTTGGTTAATTCAGGCAAAGAAACTGGTTCATTTTTTTCTTCTTTACTAGTGATAATAATAATAAAAAAAGTACAAGTTATACGTCTTGCCCCTAACTTTTAAATCTATTGTCCTGTAAATAAAATTACTTTGTCACCTGGGTCTTTATCTCTTATCTTTAAATACAAAGGCTAAGAGAAGGGAATTTAACGTGATGTGATATAAAATTTTCAAAATGCAGTATTGTTCCTCACCACTTTCCAAATCCCCACTTCTTAGACACAGCTCCAATGAAAACTAAGGACCTTTAGGGGATTCAATCCGCAGCCAAATGCAAAGGGCTTGGACTTCTCTGGGGAATGGGTTAGACAGAGCCTGGGTTCCTACCCTCAGGGTGTATGGATGCACATTTTTCTGGGAAGAGTGTCTTAAGCTTCTCAAAGGGGCCCTCTGATCCAAAGGGTAAGAGCCGCTGGGTTAGAGAACTTTTTTGTGTTTTTCTTGTTACTAAAACCGAACATAAAGCGCTGCCTAGAGTGTGGTAGCTCACTAGAGAAGTAACTCAAAACTCTGACTCAGAATTTCACTTGTAGTATTTTTAGAGCAACAAATGTAACTTTAATTTTTAAAAGTTTAGTAATAATAGCTATAAGTTTATTGACTGTGCTAGCTACTATATTTTAGGCCCTGTGCTGCGGGGGGACATAATCAAGGTAAAAGGCACTCGGCATAACAACTCATCAGTAACCGTTAATCACTGCAAATGCCCATAGCCAAGTGCCGTGTGATAATGCAAAAGGGCTCTGAAGTGATTAATAATCATCTATATCTACCTGGCCCTTATTTTCAATGGAAATGATTAGGATGCTGCAGCAATCTGATCATTTGGGATTTTTTACAGTTTAGTGTGTAATTCTGTACACTACCCTTTTTGTGTATTTTTTGGGATACTGCTTTCACTGCCGAGGGTGCAGGTTCAATCCCTGGTTGGGGAACTGAGATCCCATAAGTTGCATGGCACGGTGAAAAAAAAAGAAAAAAAAAAAAAGAAAATCAATGGTTTTCATTAATGATGCAATAATGCGACTCCCTATTTTACATGATTGATGATTTAGGAATCTATTGCACAAAAAGTAGGGTTTTATTGTACTGTTGTTATTAACAATATTTGTGATTCTGTTTAATTCTCAAAACAAGCAAGGATGGAGTTGGTACTCCATTTATGGATGAGGGAACTAAAGCTCAGAGACATTAAAGACTCCTGCCTGAGGTCACTGAACAGGGCCAGGATTGGAACCCCACATCTGACTTCAAACCCTGTGCCTTAATGACTGCACTGTGGTGCTTCCAAGTGACCTGATCAATCTCATCAAGTACTATGTGAGAATCCAGCAGGGTATTTTAGTTCCATGTTGTATTGAATCAGTACTTACCACTGGTTCTGGGGACTAGAGAGGGACTGTTCTGCTTCCTGTTCAGGTTCATTCTTATCAGGGCCATTTGCTGTGGATTTACAAAGTTGACTCTTCTGGTGTAGGCGGATCATTTCTGCCAAGGTCTCTTGGACTTCAGCAATGGTTCTCTGTGCATTTTGGAGACCAGCGTGCTCTTCTGAAAAGAGCTCCTTACAAGCGTTCAGCATTTGCTCACCTTCTTCTGTGAGTCTCACGTCTAGTTCTAGAGTCCTGCTTGGCTCTGGCTGGGAAGCTTTGGGGTCAGTTTCTTCAAGGCTGACATTGTCAAGCTGTTGGCTCTGCTCAACAGAGGTTGTCCTTCTGTGAGCAGCCCTTACCCAGACGCTGGATTCGGGGCAAGGCCCGGAGAGAGACCACCAGAATTCATACAGACGTCCATAAATAAAAAAGGCCTCCAAACTTTTGAAAGCTGGTGTGGTGGGGGACTGATGGTCACCCAGTTTGTCTCTTAGGTGGTCACAGCCTAGGAGAGAAGAAGAGGATTTAGGGTTGTTCATTTCTTTATCTGTCAGAAATCTGGCTTCCTCCCCACATGTTGTTTCCTATCACCCCAGAGCCATATCAGATCCCAAGAAACAGAACAGCAGTGATCCATGGGACCACATGCTTTCCACCAGAAGCCAACCACAGCTAAACATTTCTTGGCCTAAGGCAGTGTCCTCATTGCTACAGGCCATTTAAAGCATGATAGAAAAAGTATTTCATCTGTCCCACTGAAGGCTCTGGGGGTAAGATCCCACTGTGTCTCTGAAAAACCACAGTGTTTTAGGTTAGTGACTAATTGTGCAGCTCAAGGAATGTCTTCTCCATTCTTAATAACTTGTGAGCACATTGCTATTTCTCTAGAGCTGTGTGTAGGAAAGTATATAGGAGGCAGTGAGGTAGGTAGGTAGGACCAGGTAAAGGAAAACAGCTTAGTCATTCTGGCTACCTCTTAAGGAGGTTGGGTAAGAGAATTCAAACTTCCTACTATATGACACACTGGCCCATGTCTGTCTTTCAATAACCTATGTACTCCTGGTGCCACAACACTGGCGGTGGTTATATCATCCTTTAGTGGGTGTGCTCCAGCAGAGCTGGGGGTCTTTTACCCTCTGGAAGAAAGGCTGAGTGCACTTCCTGCATGATGGTGAAGTTTCCTGAGTTGTAGCTCCGGATCACAGCCCGAAGCAGTCCTTCCACAGCTGCGTCCCAGGAGGCCACCTGCTGGCTTAGCACTGCCAAGGTCAGGTCATGGCAAATGTGAAGCAGGAGCTGGAGAGAGGAGCCAGAGACTCAGTTAAACATCCTCTCACATCAGGCACTGGGAATGACACCAAAAATGTTCCTATTAACTGCATTTGGGAAGTACACACAGTCCACAATTAAGAAAGGTCCTCCCTATCTCCACCACCCATTTTTGCTTCCTTACTGGAAACTTTCATATTTAGTTGTACAGCAACATACACTGTCTGGTGTTAAAGTCTGTTCATGCTAAGAAAATGCCTTGACATTTGCTAAATGCAAATTAAAACAAAAAATTAAAATTAAAAAAATTAAACAAAAAGTGAGTTTCTTGAACTAAAAGCTGTAATTTAAAAAAATCTGGAGTGTAATTAAGATTTATCAATTTTAAGTGTGCAATATGATGAGTTTTGACAAATATATATATGTGTGTGTGTGTATATATATATATGTATACATGTATATATATACACACACATACACATGGTATAACTACCACCAAAATCAAGACATAGAACATTTTCATTGTAAGATACTCCTTTGTGCCCCTTTGCATTCACCTCCCCTCTCCCCATCCCTTGGCAACCAGTGATCTAGTTTTTGCCAGTATAATTTTGGCTTTTCTGTAATTCATATGAATGGAACAGTAGAGTATGTAGTTTTTTGTGACTTGATTCTTTGACTTACCATAATGCTTTCAAGATTCACTGATACTCTTTTTGCATTAGTAATTTGTTCCTTTTTATTGTTGCATAGTATAGTTTTCCACTATATGGATATACTGCAGTTTGTATACCCATTCACCAGCTGATGGACATTTGTGTTGTTTCTATTTGGCTATTATGAACTAAGCTTCTATGAACATTTCTGTACAAGACTGTGTAGACACCTGGGTTCACTTCTTTTAGTGAAATATCTAAGCAATGGGGTTGCTGGGTGTCATCGTGAACAGGTATGTTTAAGATTTTATAAACAATGATCACATAAGGAAGCCACAAAATAACACATGTGGTCTGATGCAGGGGCTGAAATTTTTGTGAGCTAGGGCAGGGAAATGGTACTGGGGAAGGAAACATGAGGGACTTCAACTTGATTCTTCTACCAAAAGCAAAGGAATATACAAAACAAAACCAAAAGACTCCATGAAGCAAAAATGACAAAATGTGAACATCTGTTTATTAATTCTAATTGATGGGTACCTATTATTATATTAGTTTCTGTGCTTTTCTTTGTTTTTAGACTTTTTTCTTTTTATTTTAGAAGGGAATTCAGATCGAAGACTAGCTTTAAAGATAAAGGGCTCTAATTCATCTGAAGGGATCTTTCCAGGTTTCCTGGGCCTGGCTTAATCTTTTCTGAAATACAAACTGGCATTCTACATGTTTTCTTATTATACTAGACATGGATTAGAGAAGTCTTAGACTACTGATTAATATCAAAAGCTCATGCAGAAGGGGTACCTGCTTGGAGGGAGTGTTACTTGTAGCAGATGGGTACTTGATATCTTGCAGCTGTTGAAATGCTGCCTGGGACTGCTCTGGGGAGTCGAGGCTGAAGGCGCTTTTCCATACTGCAGTCACCCTCTCCACAAAGGGCCTCTCGCTGCCTGCGGGCCACGCATTGTAAGAAGAGGAGGAGCTTTTGCCCTCTGAAAGCTGCTTTTCCTCCAGGTGCTTGGACAGTAGCTCAAGAAGGCAAAACACCAATCTTTGACCCTGGAACCCAATAACAAAGGAGAGGAGCTGTTATGCAGGGAAGTGCTCCATTATCTAGAGCTCTCCCCAGTCTCTCAGATTCTCCCCCTTCGCATTTGCAGCAGCCTTCCCCTCTGTGCTGCCAGCCCAGTGAGTCTTGTGGGAGGGAAAAAGAGGTGATCTAACAGACAGTTTTTCCAAATGCCTTTTGGGGGATTCCTACCCACAGCTCTTGGGGCTCAAGCAACCATATTTATTACTTTTTTTTTTTAGCAACCATATTTATAATATGACACCCCAGCTATAGCCCTACTCACTGAAATTTAAGGCACATGCAGGCCAGCCACTTAAGACTTGTGGCCCAGTTTGAGAAAAGATGGGCTGGACTCATCTAGTTCTTTTCTCTGCCCAAACTTCAGATTAAAGCGTACAGAAGTTAAAGCATCATAGGCAGAAGGTGCTGGAGCAGACAAGCTGTGTAGATCTGAGAGCTGGGGGAGTGGTTAGGGGCTGTATCCAAGTAGGTTTAACAGAGGGAATCAGCTGGAAGAGAAGAGAGCACAGAGAAAAGGTCTAAAAAAAAATCCTTACTTCTGCTGGGTTTTCAGTTGCCATGAGATTCCTTGTATATCCCTATAATATTTTCTCACTTAAGCTTGGGAAGGTCTCTGTTTCATATAGGCAGAATTACAGCTAATAGCTGAAGAGGGCTGCTACAGGTAGAGCAACATGATTTCTGTTAAAGCCAATCCATTTTCTTCAAAGCAGACCCTCTTCCTCTTCATTTTTGTGCTGATGACATCAATGAAGAAACACGGGCTGAACTGACTGAAGGCTATTCGACTGCTAAGCAGTGGGAATTACTGTCAGTAACCACATTGTCTTTTACTCTGAGTGGGGCAACTGACAAGCCACAGTACTTAAATGGGATAGTATGGCCAGGGCTTGCTGGACACTTCTAAGGATACTTACCAAATCGGTACAGCTTGTGCAACTGGGTAATTCACTTGGAATTTGACTAGAAAAGGGTTTGGGGCTCATCCCTCTTAAAAGCATGAGAGGCAGTAACAGACTGACCTTTAGACTTTCGTGGAGCTGCAGGGCTTCCTGGGCTCCCACCCAGTTCCTGGCCAGAAGCAGTTCTTGGGCACATCTGAGAGCCAGGGTAGCAGACAACTCATTCTCTCCTACGATGGAAGCCAACTCTGCAGCCGTTCTAAGTGATGCCACATCCCCCTTTTTGGCCAAAACTTTGGCTGCATCATAAGCTGAAGTGGCTCCTAAATAGCTAAAATACAAAAGAAAACTCAAGCAGAGTGTCATAAACAGATCGCCTACACCTGCTCCCCAGAGGGTTGAATCATTTCTTTCTGTCCACTTTGCCTTGCGTGCCTTCCTGTGGTCCCAGGTGTGTCATTACCTGTGGCTGTCCCTGTGAAGGCTGAGGCCAGTGCAGCAGAAGCTGAAGAGGCAGCATTATACAGGTTAAGGAAATAAAGGAACTTCAGCAGTTGCTGAGTTGAACCCAAGCAAAGGAGGCATTCCCTCCCATTTCCCATATTTAATGATACAAGGCATCCCTAAAGAAAGGAGTGATTTCCAAGTCCACGGCTTGGATTTCTTGAAGTTAGGGTGACTTACATAAATACCAAGTAGGTAGATCCTGATGAATCTTATGAAGCTGCTTTAATACATATACGCTTTTTAATTTGCTAGTTATTTCACCCCCACCTCTAAACTTCTTTCTTCAACCCTTGTCCAGCTCTTTCAAAGCTCTTCTTTGTTTGGGTGCACTCCTGTTTCCCTCAGACTTACCATTTGGCTGCTAAGGCATAATGGCCGTCTTTTTCTAGGATGGCTCCCCAGCTGAGGTACAGGTCTTTCAGGATCGGGTCCTCTGGGCGCAGCCGGGCCTTGGCAATTGCAATAGCCTCCCTAGAGGCAAGAATAGGTAATTAGCCAATCTGAAAGAGGCCCTAGGAGGGGCTGCAAGGTAGGATAAGCCGTTCCCTTTGTGTTGTCTGTCTTGTTGCAACTTCCCATAAAAAAACTGTATCCCTGCATTACAGGGCAAGTTAGAACTGCGTGCTATGCTCAATTCTTCACCTATGTCAGCAGCTCTTAAAGTGTGGTTTGTGGATTCCCGGAGTTCCAAAGGCTCTTTCAGGGGGTTCATGAGGTCAAGACTATTTTCACAATAATGTCAAGAGGTTATTTGCCTTTTGTCAGTGTGTTGACATTTGTACTGATTATGCGAAAGCAATGGTGGGTAAACTGCTGGCATCTGGAGCAGGAATCCAGTTAGTGGCCCTTGTCGTTAAAAAAAAAAAAGGTAAATTTCCTTGAAAAGCAGAAATGATTAATTTCAGTAAATCCTGCACATCCTGTTAATATTCTATGTGACAAAATGGGAAGAACATTTTGTATTCTTTGCTGCATTCCAAAGTACAATGGTTCTATGAAAAACCTGTATGAACGAATTGCAAGCTGAACTAGTTGCTTTTTTTTAGATGGAATCTCATTACTTCTTGAAAGAATGACAAACAAACAAACTATAGTTATTCAGTGTTGAGTATTTGGCAGATGTTTTCTCAAAAATGAACAAAGCAAGCCTGTCATTTCATGGAAAACAACCAACAGTACTGTTGCCAATGATAAAATTTGAGCTTTCAGGTGAAAATTAGAGTTTTAGGAAACTTGTGCCTGCCACTGTGAGCTTGATGGCTTCCCCAAAGTTAAAGACTTTTCTGATGAAGTTAAGCAATGTGATTTTTTTTGATATTTTATAGTGAGATATGTTAACATTTGGAGGATCTGTGTTAACTGACTGAACTACTATTTTCCAAATGACATACAACTTCTGAGTTGCAGCCAACATAAAGTTGTAGCTGGAATAGAAGTGTTTTAGACTAAGGTGATTTAGACACAGCAATATTTAAGAAGTACATAATTTGAGACCTCTACTTCCAGCCATGATGGAGTGACAACTAGGACCAGACGTATCCTCCTGTTGCAAAATTAAAACACTGGAGAAAATAGGTATGAAGCAACTGTTTGCAGCCACTGGACACCAGGCAGCACACGACTGTCACCCCGGAGAGAACGAAACAAATGTGAGCCCAATCGTGGCCCTGGCTTTCTGCCTAAAACCATTTTCCCAGAAGGAATCCCAGCAGAGCTTTAGCAGTCAGGGCTGAGGGGAGACGAAGCAACTGGAATTTGTGGGGCAGGACAGTAGGAAGGAAGAAGCTGTCCAGAGAAAGAGCTCTGCAACAGTGCTTAGGGATCCTGTTGAGTCTCTGGTTTAAACACAAAGCTCTGCATATGTAGGAAAGTCCTTAAGGCTGTACAAAGAATAATCAGGGAACGATAAGCTGAATAATTCCCAGGGCTCACTCAGGTTGTGGAGACATAAAAGTTTTGACCACCCAGACATTTGAGTTCTGATTTGTTGACTTACACAAGGCATTCGGTAAAGACACCAGAAGGCAGGAGGGCAAACTAATTCTAGAGTATGGATTTCTCTGAACTTGCCCTAAGAAACCTTAAAACAGGCAGGAAAAGATCAAGTTGATCTGCAGGTAACTTTACGGCTTGCCAAAACAGAGTCCGGCATTCTCTAAAGGAAGACAACACACCAAAATAGGATTAAAAGAAAGTCTCACCAAAGCCATCATATGAAACGGCTGAAAATCAGTGGTGGAGAAAGTCCTAAAAACAGTCAGAGAAAAAAGACATAGTTCCTGTGTAACAAAGATAAGAATAAATGCAATAGTCAAGTCAACAATGCAAGCCAAGAAAAAATGGAATGATATCTATGAAGCACAAAATGACAGAACCTTCCAATCTAGAAGTCTACACCCACTGAAAGATCCTTTAAAATAGAGGCAAAATTAAAGACTTTTATAGACAAACAAAAGTTGATGGAATATGTCACCAGTGGGACCACACTACAAAAAAAAATGTTGAAGTTCTTCACGGGAAAGAAGGAATTGACAGCAATTGGAAACTTGGATCTACATAAGAGAATGGAAAGTGCTGGAAATAAATATACGGGCAAATATAAGAAAATGTTTAAAAACTTAAAGAAAGGTAATTGTTTAAAGCAAGAATTCTAATATTGTAATGTGGGGTTATAACATGTATATAGTGAAATATAAGACAGCAATAGTGGAAGGGACAGGAAGAAAGAAAGAAGTATGATGTATGCAAGAAGTGGTACAATATTATCTGAAGGTAAACTGATAAGTTAAAAATGTTCATCATAAACCCTAAAGTAACCATTAAAAAAAATAAAGGATTATAGCTGACATGCCAGTATTGGAGATAAAAAAATATTTAACTAATCTGAAAGAAAGCAGGAAAAGAAGAAATGAAATAGCAACATGGTAGATTTAAATCAGTCGCACTAATATTTACATTAAAACACTCCAATTAAAAGGCAGAGACTATCAGACTGGATAAAAAACAAGACCCAACTGTATGCTGTCTACAAGAAATATTTCGTTGCTTTTGTTTTCTGTAGTTAAATATGTACTGTAGTGGAAGAATAATAACTTGAACAGAAAGGATTCATACCAGTCTCAGAAGAGTGGTTACTGCTAGAGAAGGGATGAGGACAGAATCGGGGAAAGGCAATTCAACTAAGTCTGGAATGTTATACTTCTCACTTCACAGGTGGGGCTTAAAAAAGTTCCTCTCTTAGTAGTTCATTAAGCTGTTCATTTGTGTCATGCTCTTTTCCTTATTTGTATTAACAATAAAGAAATTAAAAAAAATATCAGTAGCAAATATTGCTGAAAGTTAACATTTGTTAAGTATAGGTGGTGGGTGCACTGATGTTTAAGCTAGCGAACATACATTTGTGTACATTTGAGATGTTTAATTACAATAAAGGTTTTATGGTGGTTATAATGAAACAGAACTGTTATGTAGATTAATTTCACATTACATCCAACTGCTGGTTCAACTGTTGGGTCATACAGACCTGTAGAAATGGTTTGACTTGAGCAGCTCCACAGCTTCATACACTTTGTGGATAGAAAGTAGGTGAGAGGCAGCCTTGACATACTGGTCCTGAAAACACAGTTGTTTGGCAAAAGCTTCGACGGCCCATACCCACACGTGGTAACCGGCTTCAAACAAACAAACAAACAAAAACCAGCAGATTTAAGGAAAAAAAGCACGTACATTTGGGTTGAAAATGCTTGTTAGTCACTGCATTAAGCAGAACATTTAGATAGTAATTCAGTTGCTGTTTCATCTGGTCATGTTTCATCTACCTCTCCCCGTCCCTACATTCTGAAATGTAAATTGTTTCTCTGATTATGTAATACATAAAAAACAGTACAAAATTCAAATGTACATGAGTATGGAAGTCAGACAGTGCTTACCCTTGTTGGGGTGCATGTAGACTGACTGAAAGGGAGCATGAGAGAAGCTTCTAGGGTGCTGGCAATGTTATGTTTCTTTTTATGGGTGCTAGTTACAAGGGTGTATTCAGTTAGTGAAATTCAAGTACACTCATGACCTGTGTACTTCCATCTCTCTCTCTGGCATACTTCAATTAAAAGCTAAAAAATGAGGCATGGCATAAAAAATTTCCTTGTTATCCTGGCATCCTACTACCCAAACTTGTCCAAATTCCTTTCCCTGGAGACAACCGTTATTATTAGTTTCTTTTGAAACCTTTGGCAATAATCTATGAATATATAACCACACATGTATAAGTATCAAGGACAGAGTATTAAATATTCTGTTGTGCATCTATACCTTGATTCTTTTCACTTACTAAATTTTGGAGCTCCGCTCTGTATCAGAATGCACAGAGCTGCCTCGTTTTTTGGGTATCTATAGGAGTTTCTACTGTATAGATATACAAGATTTAACCAGTCTTATACTGATGGACATAGAGGTTCTTGCGATCTTTTGCTATTACAAACACCACTGCAGTCATAGTCCATATATAGCTGCCATTTTGCATGTGTAGGTGCAGTTAAATTCCTACAGTTAGAACTGCTGGGTCAAAGGGATGTGGATTTTAAATTTAATTATTAGACATGGCCAAATTGTCCTTCAAGACAAGTCTATCTTTAGTGGATGTATCCTAGAGATGCTAGGGCTTTTGTTGAAAAGAACATACCGACTGGTGCCATAGCCACAAGATTGTCTGTCAGCTCCCCTCTTTCTGCTGCAGTCTGCAGAACACCTTTTAGATCTCCTTTCCAAAGCATGAGCTGGTGAAATAATTCAGGGTGGCCATTTTCCAAGTGACCTTTTCCTGTTTGGAGGAGAAATATTTGGAAGATGTTTCAGAAACATCTGTCTGCACTGTCTTCTAGAAAAAGAAAGGCAGGATGAACGACAGGAATAAATTCCTAGAATATGTAGTCACTGGCTGATGGGTAAGTCACTTCCCAGAGTGTTCATAATGGGGACTGAAGCCCACTCAGTCACTTGTCCACCCACCCACCCACTTTCACTTGCACTCAAACACTCAGAATGAACACTGTATGTTTAGGGTCCTGTGACAGATGCGAGTGAGGGGTGTTTATGAACATGTAAATAAGGGAACTCAAAACCTAGGTAGCTGACATGTAAAACTAACCATTACCACACCACAGGATGGCAGCCATAAAAGAGGTATGTATAAAGCGCTAGGGAAGCGTAAAGATGGACAGGATTGTGTTGATTGGACTAGTCTCACCTTCAACCTCAATCATTCTGTACAGGGCAGCCCTGTCTGTGAAAAGCCCCAGGTGAAGGCTTTCCTCAAGATCAGCAGACACATCCTCCTTTGGCTCTGCTAATTCAAAAAGACAAAAATTCAGATGAAGTCATTTAATAGGTTACTATTTTCTGTCCAGTTACTTCCAAATGTATGTAACACCCACTTCAGATGCTGAGAAAAAGCGTCCTGTGCCCTTGTTTACCCTAACAGAGACCCTGCTGGTTACAAAGTTGGCAAAATATGAAAATACTTTGTTAGGTTTGTTAGGTTTGTCAGGTTTGTTAGGCTCAGGTTTCATACTGTTTGAATTTCATTTTATCATGTGCAACCCTTTTCAACACATAAAATTCAAAATTAAAAAGAAAAAAGTTGCTCAGATGTTAAAATAACACACATTAGGTGAGGGCTTTGAAAAACTGAGACCAAAACACCTTCTATAAACAAAAACTTCCATCAAAAATTTTTAAAGGAACTGCCGTATTAAGGGTTATTTCCAATGAGCAAATGATTTTTTTTTTCTACATGTACGTGCTGTTTACTGGGGAAAAACAGTTGATGGAACTGATTCACGCTGAGATATTTAAGCCATCATACCAATTCCAGCACCCATATGGCTGGCAACAACTTGATTTATAATAGAAAAGCAGAGCATTATGTCTCCAAGGCACTGGAGAGTGCTGACAGCGGTCAGAGTGTGGACAGAACCTGGCAGCAGGGTGTGGGGGAGGGATGATGCAGAAATACAACAATTTTGGACATTTGTTGGCTCATTCATATAACATATAAACAAGCACTTCTTATGTGTCACTTCCCAGAAGACTACGGATGGGCCAAGGAAGTGTATTTCTGTACCTCTGGAGTGTTTTGCAGTGGCTAATACCAAACAGTCCTGATGAAGCTCCTCTTTGGATCTGTGGTCCAGACTTGTACTCAGTGGAAGCATGGAACGAGCTTTTCGCTTCTTGATTAAGGCTTCTGAAATGTAATAAAAGTACAGACTGTCTGAAGAAGAGTTGATCAAAAACACAAAACTGAATGCATGCCCATTGAATATGTAACCTACTGGAGGGATACTGCTGGGCAGAGAAAGTTCCCACTCTTATAAGGAAGCTTTCAAATTAAATTAGCTGGGGGCAATGTTCACAACACACACAAACGTGTCCCTGTGAAAACTTGTGAAGCAACATCAACAACTGCAAAATGACAGTTCCTCAAGTACTAAAAAAATGACCCCAAATCGAAACAATCAAAACACTTACAAATATTTAAAATCTAAAACAAAACGAAAAACTGAAAACTTTTGAGTTTTCAGTTGCATGCAATTTTTGAGGATACTTTAACAAAATATTTTATTTATTGTAATAGCCAAATAAATAAATTTTTTATTCTTTTGTTAAAAAATTTTTGGCTGCGTTGGGTCTTCATTGCTGCACACAGGCTTTCTCTAGTTGTGGTGAGAGGGGGCTACTCTTTGTTGTAGTGTGTGGGCTTCTCATTGCGGCAGCTTCTCTTGTTGCAGAGCATGAGCTCTAGGAGCGCAGGCTTCAGTAGTTACAGCATGCAGGCTCACTAGTTGTGGCTCGTGGGCTCTAGAGTGCAGGCTCAGTAGTTGTGGTGCACGGACTTAGTTGCTCCACAGCATATGGGATCTTCCTGGACCAGGGATTGAACCCGTGTCCCCTGCATTGGCAGGCGGATTCTTAACCACTGCACCACTAGGGAAGTCCCCCCCAAATATTTTAATTATTAAATACCAACCTGACTTTTCTTTAGGTGCCTCCTTTTTCAGTAAAGTGACTTTGTTATTAATGGTGACTTTTGACTTTTCAAAGCCTAAGGATGCTGGAGTGCAGATAACTGGTTCTTTAGAGACTACATCATGGGGAAAAAGAAAAAAAATGTGGATAAGAACAATGTAGAATCTAGTTCTTTTTAAAAATTCAGAGTATACCAGTCTTAATGGTGTGATTTTATCTATTACCCCAAATATAAGATGAAATATTTCAGATAGGAAGCATGGGTAGTCTCCCTTTCCCCATCTCACAAACTGCCTTCCAAGAATCTGTAGGTTTATTGCTTAGAACTCTTGACTAATTGATCTAAGGAAAAGTTATAAACGTTCTAGCCTCCACAGCTTTATAACATAGGTCTAGGAGTTCCCAAACTTGGCTTGGGTGACAAAGTACTAATTGCATATTTAATTCCACAAACAAGGAACAACTTTACCAATAGAAATTTAAAGTGTATGGGATACAGAGTCACAATCCCGAGTGTACACACCATGAACTCAAAAAACCCCACAAAAAACAAAAAACCCAAACTAAGTTGTTGATCTACAGGGGTAAAAGAACATTTTATGATAAAGAAGTATTCTGATGAATCTAAAAAATAAATCCATTAAACTTTTTAGATCGTTATTTACCCAAACCGTGGGTCCCAGTGGCCATCCCTTGGGATGGAGAGGGTCAGGGAGGACTCTGTACCATATATTTTGGCCATTTAAAATTCTGTCACATCAAAATATTCTGCTGTAGAGTTAAACATGAGTCAGTCCTATTTATATTGTTTGCCTGCAAGTTCCCAGAGTGGTGAGTTTCTAGGTCAGATATTTGTAAGGGACAATGGTTTCTTTCAGTAAACATGGCTGATGACATCATATTGTTAAAACTTTCCCCATGTAAGTTTCTATGTATACATTGCCCTAGTTTCACTTTGTCCCACAGTCTTACCCTGCTCAAGTTGATAAGAAGTTTTCTCTATAGAACTTCACTATTTCCATCCCAGTCACCCATTAGATCCCCTTAATACTTCAAAGGTAGACCTGGCTTAGTTTCCTGTTCATGACTACTAAGTCCTAGAGAGTTAGTGAAACACAGGATTTGGCCACATACCTGCCGAGGTGACACCACAGGGTAGCTCTGGCTCCCGGGCTTCCTCCTCAGTCTCCTGGTCTGACACTCCATTCTCAACAGGGCCCGAGCTCTCCTTAACACTCTCTTCTTCATTCCCGTCACACAATTCCTGCTTTACAGGCACTCTCAAGATGGGCTTTTTCTTCTTTTTGGGCTTTGGCTTAGGTTGAGAGAGCCTTTTTTTCTCTAATTCAATATTTTTCTTGCCTATAGAAATCACAGTTCAGAAAAGGATAGATTAAAGTATATATTCTTGGTTAAAAGCACTCTAGGAGATAATCTCCAAAACCTTATTACTCTTGTTTTTGATAACATTCTTGCCCTTTCCCTTCCTTCCCAATGAATTCTTAGTTATATTATCAAAATGTTAACCAAACCAAACCCTTTTGGGATTTCATTAAATCATAAACACAATGCCCTATTTACCCCTGAATACTTGAGTGTATATCCTACAAACAAGGATATTCTCCTACATCATCAGAGCACAACCATTAAAATCAGGAAATTAACGATGATACATTACTCCTGTCTACTCCCACCTCACTTAAGTTCTGCCAGTTGTACCAAGAATGTCCTTTATAGCAAAAAGAATCAATCCAGGACTACATGTTGCACTGGCTTGTTATGTCTGTACTTTCTTTCAGCCTGAACAGGCTCAGATTTTATTTTGACTTTCATGACTGGAAACTCATGAAGATTACAGGATAGTTATTTTGTCAGATTTCCTTCAAATTGGGTCTGCCTTATGTTTTTCACGATTAGATTTAGGTTATGCATTTCATTGCCCCAGGCAATCACTGATTTGCTGTCACTGTAGTTTAATTTTTGTCTGTTTTACAAATTCTTATGATTTATAACTACATTTCTTTTTTTTTTTTAATTTATTTTATTTATTTATTTTTGGCTGCATTGGATCTTTGTTGCTGTGCACGGGCTTTCTCTAGTTGCGGTGAGCAGGGGCTACTCTTTGTTGCGGTGCACGGGCTCTTCATTGCAGTGGCTTCTCTTGTTGCGGAGCACGGGCTCTAGGTGCATGGAGTTCAGTAGTTGTGGCATGTGGGCTCAGAAGTTGTGGCTCGCAGGCTCTAGAGCACAGGCTCAGTAGTTGTGGCATATGGGCTTAGTTGCTCCGCGGCATGTGGGATCTTCCTGGACCAGGGCTCGAACCCGTGGCCCCTGCATTGGCAGGTGGATTCTTAACCACTGCGCCGCCAGGGAGGCCCTATAACTACATTTCATACTCTGTATTAGCTATACAGTATTTAGTCTTTGTGCCCGGCTTCTTTTGCTAGGCATAATCCTTTTTGAGACTCATCCATTTTGTTGTGTTTAAAAGTAGTTACTTTTTATTGCAGAGTAGAATTCCACTACAGGATATACCATAGTTTATTCACCAGCTGATGTACATTTGGGTTGTTGTTTCCGGTTTGTGGCAATTATAGATAAAGCTATAAGCATTCTTTTATAGGTCTTTATATGGATGTATCATTTCATTTCTTCGGGTATATTTCTAGTTGTTTATATACTCTGTCTAGTTTTCTAGCTATTTCTGGTGAGTGGGCAAATCTGGTACCAGTTATTCTTTTATAGCCAGAAATGGAATTCTGTTAATTATTTCAAGTTCAGATTGTCCCAGATTTGGGTAGCCAGCCCCTTCAAGCTGGCTTCTTTGTCCTTTTGATGCTCTCTATTCTTTGAGCACTTCCTTCCTTTGTGGCATATGATGTTGCAGGCTCATCTTGTATTTTTCCTGTCCTAACCTGGAATTAGCCATTTCTCCAGAAGCCCTGGTCGGTCCCTTTTAATGGAGAATGATGATATTTAGAAAACAAGATCCGGGTGCTAGGTATACTTGTTACTATTTGGGTGTTGTCCTCAGGCCCCTCATGGCTGCTATCCTTGCTTGGGCTTCCAACCCTACCATCCTGTTGCTGCCGCCCTGCACGAATGTCTTCCTTGCTTGACTCCAGTCAACTCACTTACTGAGGAAAGGAGAAAGGGAATTAGGCAAGCCTTTATGGGCTCCAGGTTTTGACTGACCTTGAGGAGGTCGGGAATGTTCTTGCATGGAAGTGAGCCATTTGTACACACAGAAGTCATCTGCCCCTGAGTAGATGCAGTCTGGATCCAACGGAGACCATGCGATGCAAAGCAGTCGACCTCGATGTCCTCGGAAATTGCATAGAGGCTCTTCCTGGAGAGTATCCCACACCTAAAACCAAAAGTCACACAAGAGAATAATTTCTCGTTATTCTATTGTTTTTTGGGGGGGTATACATTTTAGAAAAAATTTTAAAAATCTGTGTACTCTTATTTCCTCTTGTGATTTGTACTTTTAGGAGTTCAGTTTCAGAAAGTGCTATTTCCTGTGGGAGATTTATGTATTCTGGGATATAGAGGCATTCCCATGTGGATGATTTTGAGTAAGCTTTAATGGTGCCCTATGGATTTCACTGTCCTCAACCAGTATCATATGTTATTTTTGGGCTGGGGATTCAGGTACCATGAAGAGAATTCTAATTCAGAGCCCACACCTGCACATGTGATGGATGCTTAGGGTTCTAACTTCTCACAGGTGATTCTTCTGTCTGTGGGAAAATGATCAATTTCCTTGCTGTTTCTTGAATTACTCCAGTCTGCACTGCACAAAGGGTAGCCCATCATGGCTCTCAGCTCTGTGCAGATAGCTCATTTACCACTCATTACTGAGACAGACATCCATCACAGATGATAGATCCTAAGGTCTCTTCTGGTTCTGATATCCGAAACTCACCCCATACCTCTTGTTTGGCATCTCATCTTTATTTTTGAGAGCTTGGAGGTCTGAGTTACCAATTTATTATTAGAAATATTTTTTCATTACTTATAGTCAACATTCTGTGATAGAACAGAATGGGAGGAGTACTTTTCACATCAACTTTAGCCCATTAAACTGACAGTAGGTCAGAATGAAATCTTTAAAAACATCGGAATTTAGCTAGTTCCTATTAGTAGTTCCCCTTTCATCTAAGTAAAATACACCCCAAACTTAGCCTGCCAAGGGCCCAGATATATTTAATAAACTAAAATGCCCTCTAGAGCTCAGAAAAGTCCCTTTCTATAGAAGATAATGGTGAGGGAAGGAGTCTGTACAAAACTGGGGGAAAGGAGGAAAGAGTTTGAGTACCCAGTGAAGAACCCACTGAATCAAGGACGCAATAGTACCTGAGCTGTACCATCATAGGAAGCAGATATCAGCCTTCCGTCATGATGTGGGCTCCATGCCAGACTGGTAATCTTGGCTGTGTGCCCTGAGAGGGTCCGGTAGGGCTCTGTAATGGTCACTGGAGATTCAGGATTGCTCTCTATAAGACAAGGGGATGATGTCATTTCTACCAGCAACAACAACGGAAAGACATAAAGGAGGGTATTAACATGGCAAGAGTCAAGATTTTGCCACGTGCTTTCTGTGTGATTTTCAATATTGTTTCTACGTGGGCAGTGTTGTTTAGTAATTAAGTGTGTAGGCATATCCACAGTGCCTGGCACATGGGCTTACTGCAAGAAGTATTAGCTATCATTCTTTCTTTCTAGAAGCCATCAAAATGAAAATAATACATTTTGGATGTGATACCAAGAACATATCATGTATATGGCACTCTAGCTAAAAATGTGTGACCTGAATCTAGTCATGAGAAAATAGGAGACCAAACTAAATTGAGGGGACATCTACAAAATAACAGGCTGGCATTCTTCAAAAAAATCAACATGAGGGACTTCCCTGGTGGTCCCGTAGTTAAGACTCCACACTTCCAATGCAGGGGGCATGGGTTCGATCCCTGGTTGGGGAACAAGGATCTCACAGGCCGCGTGGTGCGGCAAAAAAAAAAAAGGCTGACAGACTGTTCTAGATATAAAGGACAATATTGGATCAATTGACAACACTAGAATAAGCATGGCAGATCAAACTATTGTATTAAATGAAGTTTATAATGGAATTATGGTTATGTAAGGGAATAGCCTTATTCTTACAAAATACACAAATGTTAAGGGATATGGGGCATGACACATGCAACACAAACAGTTTGGAAAAATACATACATACACACACACACAGAACAAATCAAATATTACAAAATATAAGTTGTTGAATCTGTGAAAGGGTATATGGGAGTCCTTTGTACTATTCTTGCAACTTTCCTCTAAGTCTCAATTATTTAAATATAAGAAGGTAAAAATAAAATGAAATGGATTCTGGCCATTTTTTTCCTTTTTCTATTATTCAGTAGATATGAAATAAAAAACAAACTAGGGTGACAGTATTACAGTAGAAAAAGATCTGCACTGCTCTTAAGTATTAACTTAATGCTCTTCAATAAGTGATGCTGAGAAAACTGGACAGCTACCTGTAAAAGAATGAAATTACAACATTTTCTCATACCGTATACAAAAATAAACTCAAAATGGATTAAAGACCTAAATGTAAGACCTGAAATCTTAGAACTCCTAGAAGAGAACTCTTCGACATAAATCATAGCAGTATTGTTTTTGGCTCAGTCTCCTAAGGCAAAAGGAACAAAAGCAAAAATAAACAAATGGAACCTAATTAAACTTAAAAGCTTTTGCACAGCAAAGGAAACCATGGACAAAACGAAAAGACAACCTACTGAATGTGAGAAAATATTTGCAAATGACTGATAAGGGATTATTTCCAAAATACCTAAACAGCTCATAGATCTCAGTGTCAAAAAAACAACCCAATTAAAAAATGGGCAGAACACCGGAATAGACATTTTTCCAAAGAAGATATGGCCAATAGGCACATGAAAAGATGCTCAGCATTGCTAATCATCAGAGAAATGCAAATCAAAACCACAGTCACATCATTTCAAACCTGTCAGAATGGCTATCATCAAAAAGAACACAAATAGGGACTTTCCTGGTGGCACAGTGGTTAAGAATCCGCCTGCCAATGCAGAGGACACGGGTTCGAGCCCTGGTCCGGGAAGATCCCACATGCCGCAGAGTGACTAAGGCTGTGTGCCACAACTACTGAGCCTGTGCTCTAGAGCCTGTGAGCCACAACTACTGAGCCCGTGTGCCACAACTACTGAAGCACACGCGCCTAGAGCCCGTGCTCTGCAACAGAGAAGCCACTGCAATAAGAAGCCCATGCACTGCAACGAAGAGTAGCCCCTACTTGCTGCAACTAGAGAAAGCCCGTGTGCAGCAACGAAGACCCAATGCAGCCAAAGAAAAAAAAAAACAAAAAGCACAAAACAAAACACAAACACAAATAACAGATGTTGGTGAGAATGTGGAGAAAAGAGAACTCTGGTACATTATTATTATTATTTTTCTCTCTCTTTTTTTTTTTCCTCGTACATTATTGGTGGGAATGTAACTGGTGCAGCCACTATGGAGGTGGCTTAGAAAACTAAAAATAGAAGTACCATATGACCCAGCAATTCCACTCCTGGGCATATATCCCAAAAAAAATGAAAACACTAATTCTAAAAGATACATGTACTCCAATGTTCATAGCAACATTATTTACAACTGCCAAAATATGGAAGCAACCTAAATGTCCATCAACAGATGAATGGATAAAGATGTGGTATATATGTACAATGGAATATTACTCAGTCATAAGGAAGAAGGAAGTTCTGCTGTTTGCAACAAAAGAGACCTAGAGGGTATTATGCTAAGTGAAATAAGTCAGACTGAGAAAGACCAATACTGTATGTTTTCACTTATATATGGAATCTAAAAAATAAAATGAATAAATGTAACAAAACAGAAACAGACTCACAGATATAGAGAGCAAACTAGTGGTTATCAGTGGGGAGAGGGCAGAGGGGAGGGGCAAGATGGGAGTGTGGGATTAAGAGGTACAAAGCTGTATATAAAATAAATAAGCAATAAGGATATATTGTATAGCACAGGGAAAGATAGCCATTATTTTATAATAACTTTATTATTTATTTATTATTATTATTTTTTGCGCTACGTGGGCCTCTCACTGCTGTGGCCTCTCCCGTTGCGGAGCACAGGCTCCGGACACGCAGGCTCAGCGGCCATGGCTCACGGGCCCAGCCGCTCCGTGGCATGTGGGATCTTCCTGGACCGGGGCACGAACCTGTGTCCCCTACATCGGCAGGCGGACTCTCAACCACTGCGCCACCAGGGAAGCCCATATAATGACTTTAAATGGATATAATCTATAAAAATACTGAATCGCTATGTTGTCTACCTGAAACTAATACGATATTGTAAATCAACAACTATACTTCAGTTTAAAAAAATTAAGTTTATGTCCTTTGCCAAAGTAGATATTTAATTTGGAATCAGAGGACTAGGATAAGCTTTCTAACATATCATGCTTATTAGTTACAAACTGTCTGCTATTATTAGAAAAATCTATGTACACTATTAGTTTTCCTATATTCCTTTTAACTTGAGAGAGTCACTGCTAGAATAAAAATTGTTTTGTTATTACAAATAAAGATTCTCAGGAAATTACTGGAAATTAGTTCTAGAGAAATTTAAAATGTCAACTTGAAATTTTCACTATGGTTGACAGCACATACTCTCCAGCACTTTGGAAACAGATTAGTGTCACATTATAATTTCTTCATATTAGAAAAAAAAGTAATTACATCTCCTTCACATTAAAAGAACAGGCGCCTCTGACCACTTATTATGGTTCTTCTGGGTGCTGAAGAAATTCAGAGAAGTTTAAGATTCATTAAGGAATACATCATATGAAAATATGAAAAAGATCAACGTGCCAGGCAGGGACTAGTAGTTACTAGAACACATGCAGACTCTGCAATTAGACAATTTGAGTTTGAGTTTGAATCTAGGCTCTATCATATACTAGCTGTGGGACTTATGGAAGTGAGCTAACGTCTCTGAACCTCAATTTAATCAGGAAAATGAAGATAACAAAACCTACCTCCCAGGACTGTGAGAATTAGATGCAGTCACACATGGAAACACTGAGGGAAGGGGATATAAACTGGCAAAATCTTTTTGGAGAGCGACAATTTCACACAAGATGAAAAGTCATATCCCTACCCCTGGCCTGGAATAACTATAGCAATAACTATACTTCAGAAAATCTGGAAAAAACATGCAGCAAACTAATAACACTGGTTTTTACTGAGGGATGGGATTAGGGAATTTTGTCATGTTTGAAACTTTTGTTGTATTTTAAATAAGGTGAATATACTACTTTTGAAAGCAGAAAAATTATAAAAGTAGTATTTACTTTAATACCGAAAAGAAAGGAAAAAGGCACAGAAATTGGAACAAGAAGTAGCGGAACACATATACCACCCCCAATATGGAAAGAAACCAAAGTTACCTATGACGGTCTGCAGGTTGTGCACATAAATGACTGCATTGTTGGACCCAGAGGCCATCAGATAGCTCAGCTCTGGCTGGCTGCCATACTCATGATGCCAGCTAATAGTATTCACAAGCTTGTGATGCTGCTGGATGGTGCAGATCAGTTTCAAGTTAGGAACCTTGAATATTTCTATTGATCTGGAATAAGAAACACACCAAGACAAGAAAGATGGATGCTCAAATTACAGTCCAATGCAAACAGGTATCTCCCTCATCCCATCAGTCAAAGAAAGGTGAAATGGAATAGGATAACCCTATATAAACTGCAGAGGTTACTCTCTCACAAAGAACCAGACACAAAAACTAGTTCTTTCAAACAGTTTTCACAAATCTCAACAATCTCTGGAAAGTTGTGTTTATCAGGCTCTTATAATAAATGGTGCAAGGGAGAAGCTAAAAGAAGAATTAATAAACAAATGGCTGAAATAGGACTATGTTACTATGATCAACATTGGAAAGGGGAAAAAAAAAAACCCCAAAAAAACAAAAAGAAAAAGATGTTGGAAAGGGCATGGTGAGGCCTAAAAAGCATTTCTGCCTAGGTTTACTATAAAAAAAATGAAGGGAGATTTAGGCAGTTTAATTCTGGAGATGAGGATTCTGTGAAGCACACAACAGCCAAAACACAGAGTAGGCAAACATTCTCTTTGGGCTGAAAATATTTAACTTATTTTGCAGTTCTCAAAAATGCAGAGAGCTGAGTCATTTAAGGATATCAGGGATAAGTCATAATATCAAATACAACTAGGTTTTCCCAACTAACATTACAGATGGCATTAGCTTGTGATCAAATGTATGCGCAATTACAAAGTTTTTTTTATAAAGAAACAAACACATACCCATCTTCATTGCCAAGAGCCATGATTTTGCCATCTGCTTTCCAGCTGATCTCTGTGTGTACAGGCAATTTGTACTAGAAAGCAAAACAAACCAATCTTGACTGAAAACATTGTTCTTCTTACAAATCAGTGATGACGGTGTGGGGAAAAAAAAGAAAATCCCTAGTTTAAAAATGTTCTAATTGTACAACAGCCATTCTTATAAATAATCTACATAATTCGCCAAAGAGGTACTAAGAGCAAGTATTTGAAATACGATTTCCTAAATGGGATAAAAAAGAGAGGCCAGTAAATAATACATGTCTGCAGTGTCTAACCTTGTGAAATGAACTTAATTAAAATGATTTTTATCCCACAATAAGACACGAAACATATCCATTGGCTTTGATAACATGGGGGTCGTCACCTTTTTAATAGAAGTCATACACACTACGCTTTTTTCTTCCTATCTCTTCTGTTTCTTTTCCAGAATCTTTTTTGTTTCCTAACTTTTTTTTGATGTTCCCCAAAGCTGCCTGGGCCCTCTTCTTTTCTTACTTGTCTCTTTAGATCACCTCATACATACCTGCAGCTTCTTTAGCTACCATTCATGTGAAGAGACTCCAAATTTCTATTTCCAGCCCAAACTCCTTATATGAGCCTCTGATCCATACATTTAACTGTCACAAAACTAAAAATTTGTTAAGAATAGGAATTTTGTCTTTTATTCATTGTTGAATGTTAATGTTCAGATGACATTTAAGACATGAAGGAATACAGTCAACAAAAATAATTCAATTTATGATTAAATGTTATTTTTATGCTAGCCATACAAAATAATGAGCAACAGTAAAAAATGCTCGTTTGAAAGAGTAAGGAAATCTCAACATTTATGGTTTCATTTAAAAAGACAGTTCTGGCATACAGATACACTGATAGGATGGTAAGGAAAATGTGGCTAAATGTGGAAATCTCAGTCAAGGATATAAGGAAATTATTTGTATTATTTTTGCAACTTTTGTATAAATCTGTAATTATTTCACTAAAAAAATTAAAAACAAAATGACAATTCTGTCTTGAGCAAAATACCTTATATCTGCACTTGAATACCATATTAAAAAATTATTTTTACGAACACCTCACTCTGGAGAAAGTGGCTGGCGTGAAAAGGCTGCTTTATATTCAAGATTGGAAAGTTTATAATAAATCACCATTGCAATTGAAAGAAGCTTGAAATCTGCCTGAGCATAATGGATACCTCTTATAATGGCATTTATCATGCAAGATGAGAAGCCAAGAAGATGGAGAGATCATGAGAAGACTTTAGACCACAAGAACTCACTTTGATTGAATTGGTGTCCCTGATGAGTTTGTTGATGTCAAAGGCCTCTCCACTAAGCTTCCAGGGGTTGTGTTGTAAGACAATCCCTTCCCCTCCACAGCTGTATAAAGTGAGGGAAGGTCTGTCCCCTTCTCCTCCTATATGAGATAAGGAAAGAAAGCGTATCCGTTTTGTACTTCACCAGCTTAACTATTTGTTGCTATAGTATGACCATATCATACTATGAGATGTTTTAAAAGAATTACATTAATTTATTGGAATAAAGTCACTGTTCTTTGCATCTGAACACAGTTGTTGGGGGCAGAAATAAACGGTATACTAATTCTACATTAATATTTATAATACAACATATTTGCTTTAAACATTCTTCTGCCACTCAAAATAGTAGGGGTGCCAAAGCTGGGATCAGAAAACATGTTTTCAAAGTTTTGGGGAATTTACCTTCTCTTACCGACAAGTACTCTTTGGGCATTTAAATATATGGAGCTGCAGGACTTGCTATGACTAACTAAGAAGCTGTACTCAAAGCAATGATTTCTTTGGTGTTACAGCAATCATCCTGTTGATTTTTAAGAAGCAGACAGTGGTTCTGGTGGGTTTCTGTAAGGGCAAGTTTTATTTTCACCACTGCTAGAACTATGCTTGGCACAAATCAAGGATCAACATTTGTTGAATGAATCAATGAATGAACTACCACTGCAATGCTGCTTGAGTTCTGATGATTTACACTGTAAACGTTTACATTATTATGGAAATTTACAGATGTCCCATTATATATGGTGAAGAAAAGATTACCAAAGACTTTTGCTGAACACATTCATTTTTAAAATTCTGCAAGACCTACCACTGTAGGCATACGAGAGAAATATAATGCTGAGGGGTTAGAAAAGGAAAAGGGTCAGAATACATCAAAGGCAACAAGAGATCATTTGAGAAATTGTAAGTTTGCTTTAACTGTAGGTGAAAACAGATGATCATTAACATTATAATTCTTTTTTTAAATTTATTTTTTAAATAAATTGCTTATCTTTATTTATTTATTTTTTTTGGCCACACTGCATGGCCTGTGGTATCTTAGTTCTCGGACCAGGGATTTAACCTGGGCCCTTGGCAGTAAGAGCACGGAGTCCTAACCACTGGACTGCCAGGGAATTCCCAACATTATCATTCTGATAAAATTAAAAGGTGATAGCAAATTTTAGTGAAAATCATTAGACTAGGTATCAGGACCAAGCATGAGATAACTATATTCACAATGAAAAAATTCAGCTCAAAGAGATCAAATATGCTTTAGTTTGGAGTTTGGAGAGGCTTATTCTGGGTGAATGCTTTCTAATTTATCACCTGTTACAAATGCCCTCATGGACCCCTGGGGACATTGCAGCTTGCTTAAGTAACCACTGCATTAGAATATTTATGACTCTTTCCAGGTTGCACATCCTAGGATTAAGTTGAAAGAAAGAGAATACTCTCACGTTTGTTACAGAATGACTCACACTTACCGGGTGCCATGGAGGGTACCGGTGGCCCCCAGGCTAATGAGTATACAGTCTTCTTGTGATATGTGCTAGAAATCTGTGGAGGCCTGGGGGGAAGGGGGATTACAAACAGAAAGACTTAAAACAAAAAGATATAGTGGAAAACAGACCATCTTTTTCAAAAAGTTACCTGTTATATAAACTTAGTTGCTGATATTAAAGAAAAATAATTTAACAGTACCTTTCTCCAAATAACTGACTGTAAACAAGCAAACACTTAAATAATATACCATGTAATGATAGCTACTAACAAAATAATTAAGTCCCGAACATACTTCACCCAGTAAAAGAATGCTATTAACCTCTCCAACTGGCCAGCTTGGGATCATTCTCCCCATCTCTGTCAAATACTCTAATATTACTGTAGTTATATACCAGTGTAAAGGCTATCACAACTAGAGAAAAACAGGACAAGACAGAAAATGCAAACTGTTAAGCCCAGAACTAAGGTTACTGCTAAGCATATATTATCACCAAGCAGATGTATCCACCTTATATTCAAGTAAAAGACTGGAAGTCATTTTTGGCTTACCCTGTCGTTAACATCACATTCTTTTTTTTTTTTTTTTTTTTTGCGGTATGCGGGCCTCTCACTGTTGTGGCCTCTCCCATTGTGGAGCACAGGCTCCGGACGCGCAGGCTCAGCGGCCATGGCTCACGGGCCTAGCCGCTCCGCGGCATGTGGGATCTTTCCGGACTGGGGCACGAACCCGTGTCCCCTGCATCGGCAGGCGGACTCCCAACCACTCTGCCACCAGGGAAGCCCTATTTTACAGTTTTTAAAGGTTACTTTCCATTTAATTATTACAAAATACTGGCGCTATTCCCCATGTTGTACAGTACATCCTTGAGCCTCTCTTACACCCAATAGTTTGTACCTCCCACTCCCCCACCCCTATAGTCCACCCCACCCCAACCACTAGTTTGTTCTCCGTATCTGTGAGTCTGCTTCTTTTTTGTTATATTCACTAGTTTGTTGTATTTTTTAGATTCCACATGTAAGTGATGGCATACAGTATTTGTCTTCCTCTGTCTGACTTATTTCACTTCACATAATACCCTCCACATCCATCCAAGTTGCTTCAAATGGCAAAATTTCATTATTTTTTATGGCTGAGTAGTTATTCCATTGTGTGTGTGTGTGTGTGTGTGTGTGTGTGTATACACACAACTTTTTTCTCCTTTCATCTGTTGATAGACACTTAGGTTGCTTCCATATCTAGGCAGTTGTAAATAATGCTGCTATGAACACAGGGGTGCATGTATCTTTTCGAATTAGTGTTTTTGTGTTTTTTGGATATATACCCAGGAGTGGAATTGCTGGATCATATGGTAGTTCTTTTTGAGTTTTTGATTTTTTTTTTTTTTTTTTTTTAAAGAAACGTTGCTCTTCAGGGTATTTTTGAAGGTTGCTGTGGTGACTAATGATATGTGATGTGTCAGGACAGGGCAGTGCGGTTATTACCTTTAACATATACTGTATTCTTTGTATGATTTTAGAATTCCAGGATTCTAGAACCTATGACTGAACTAACTTAGCTGTTGACTTCTTTCCATGTATCTGACACATTTATCATTATCACTCTAGACAATGAACCAATTTTTCTTTGGCTGAAAGAAGTAGAATAAGCATTTCTGGCTGAATACTAAAAATGTATCTACAGCAACATCCTTCCTCCTACTACATACCTTTGCTGGTATCAGTTTAGATATTCAGCTTATAATAACCAAACGATAGTAATTCACCAGAATTAGTCAGCAGTTTTGTGATGACACAAACCTACTTAAATTGATATATAGTTTTATTTTATTAAATACTTCTTTGAAATAGTGTAGCCTTTTTAAAAAAAAGCTAGATATGAAGAAAAATAGTTATTGCGTATTCAGTTATACATAAGTACCTAAAAAACTGGCATATAAAAAGGTTAGCTGCACAGTATAATGAATGATTCTCACTTAGATGCAAATGATCTTTAGGCAAACTTTTTCTGTAAAGGGCCAGATAGTCAGTGCTTCAGGCTTTGTGAAACATGCAATTTCTGTCACAACTCGTTTATTCTATGTGGTAGCATGAAAGCAGCCTCAGACAAGAGGTAAAAAAAATGAGTGTGGGGCTTCCCAGGTGGCGCAGTGGTTAAGAATCCTCCTGCCAAGGCAGGGGACACGGGTTTGAGCCCTGGTCCAGGAAGATCCCACATGCCGCGGAGCAACTAAGCCCGTGCGCCGCAACTACTGAGCCTGCACTCTAGAGCCCGCGAGCCACAACTACTGAGTCTGTGTGCCACAACTACTGAAGCCTGCGTGCCTAGAGCTCGTGCTCCACAACAAGAGAAGCCACCACAATGAGAAGCCCACGCACCGCAATGAAGAGTAGCCCCCACTCGCTGCAACTAGAGAAAGCCCATGCGCAGCAACAAAGACCCAACGCGGCCAAAAAAAAGAAAGAGCGTGGCTGGGCTCTAATAAAACTTTACTTATGGACAGAGAAATCTGAACTTTATTTACTTTTCATACATTGTGAAATATTCTTTTGATTCTTTTTCATTTATTTCAAAAGATAAAACTATTCTTAACTCATGGGCCATAATTCTCTAATCCCTGGCCTAGAACAGTGCTGTCCAATAAAGTAGCCCTTAGCCAAATATGGCCCTTGAGCACTGGAAGTGTGGCTCATGCAACTAAGAACTCAATTTCTAATTTTATTTATTTTTAATTACTTTAACTATAAATAGTCACACATGGCCAGTGGCTACCAAACTGAACAGTGCAGGTCTGGAATCTAATCAAGCATCTAGAATAGCTGTGCCCAGTAGATTTATACTGTGAGCCACATCTGCAACTCAGAGCTTTCTAGTAGCCAAGTTAACAGAAGTAAAAGAAACAAGTGAAATTCAATTTTAAGAATGTATTTTATTTAGCTCAGTATATAAAAAGTATTATCTTTTAAAATATAATGAAAATAAATAATTACTGAGGCATTTTACATTCTTTTCTGGGGACTAAGCCTTTGAAATCTCGAGTATGTTTTACACTCAGCACATCTCAGTAGCCACCTGTGACTAAAGACTACTGTAATGGACAGTGCAGCTCTAGACAGTTTATAGGAAATACAGGGAATACAAGGAATATAAGAAATACAGGGAATAGTGAAATGAGTTACAAGTCACCACAAAGAATTAACAAGTCCAAAATGCAGAATATGCTACAAAACAACTTATCTGGAATCTTCAAATTGAAAAGGCAATGTTATGGAAAGAAGTGGGGGATTATTCTAGAATAAGAGACTAAAGAGACATAACAAAATACAATGTGTGATCCCTGATTGAAAAAAGTTTGAAAAACAAAACCACTTGGGAAAACGTTTTTGGCTCAAATGAGGAAATTTGTATATGCACTGGATATTAGCTCATATTATGGATATTGTTAATTTTTGTTAAGTGTAGACAAATAAAGCAAGTATGGCAAAATGTTAACAACTGGTAAATCAAGATGGAAGGTACAGAGATGTTCTTTGTTCTCGGCTTTTAACATTCTTCGATGTCTGAAAACTTTTGTAAAAAAAATGTTGAGGGAAAACAAAAGCAAATGGTTTATTTTAGTGGTTCCCACAGGTCAGATGGGCTGAACCACCATCACCTGAAAAAATTTTTTTAAATAAAATTCTGAGTTCTAAGCCTAAACTCAGAGTCAGAATCTTAAAGATGCTTCCCAGGCCTATTATGATATACATCCAGGTTTCTGAACTCAAAATTAACTCACTGACAATTTGGTCAATGGGCTAAATAGGAATCATCTATTTCTTACTTGTTGGAGTAGGTGTCATACAATCCCACTTTTCCATCATCAGTTCCAAAAGCTAAGCAGCCTTCCTTGGTTGGGTGCCAGCAGAGCTACAAAAAAATGAGGAAAGGGGCAGTGTTAAGGGAATCCTTAGGTTATACTTCAAGTGTTCAGCTGGAAAACTTTCTTGTTCTTTCTGTCTTCTAATTTTAAAAGTAACAAATTCTCATTATTTAAAAGAGAGAAACAAAGAAGTATTAAAAACAAAGTAAAAGTCACCTGTAATCTCACCATCCAAACACCCCATTGCCAATTCTGTATCTTTCTAGACATTTTTTGTGGTTGAACTTTATATATAATTGAAAAAACAAAAATAGGTTCAAACATTTAAACGATGTGCATGATACATTGTTGAGTGGGGAATAAAAGATTCCAGAACAATTCAGAAAATATGATTCTATTCATCATTAATAAAGCTTGGAAAGATACATCACAAACTGTCAACAGTGGTTCTCTGGATGATGGAAGTGGGAGAATGGAGTCAAGGGTGGGGTAGGAAACATTTTTTGCTTCCTACACTTCTGTACTGTGGTTTTCGTTTTGAACCACAAACCTTTATTGCTTTTAGATTAAATAGCCACAACAAAGATATCACTTTGAAGAAAAACAAAAAAATTATACATATTGTTTTGTAATCTGCATTCCATGTTTTATAATTTGCATTTTTCATGAATCATTAACATTTTCCCACATCAAAGAAAGATCTACATTATCACTTTTAATAGTTTAATACTATTCCCCATGTGGTTATAATTTAATGTATCTCCTATGAATACACATCCAGGTTATTTCTAATTTCTTACTATTAGAAAACAGTGTGACTTGAACAAAACCTTAATTTTACAAACAAAGCCAAATTTCTGAATCAGGAGGTATGTAATAGGTTTGGTCAGAGAGAGTCCTTCTGCTGCTCCACTTTCAAACTGCATCGAAAATACCCTTGAAGAAGTCTGAATTCCCAATAGAGTTCATTTATATGAATAGGTATTCTCTAAAAGAGAATTAGTTATTTGAAAAAAGTTCGTGGCAAGCTCAAAGAAAGCTTCCTTACCGCTGTAACCTTGGACTTGACACCCTGCCAAAAAATTTTCACATCATAGTTGTTCTTTATGGAGAATGTATTCCATATACGGATCATGCCATCACCAGCGCCTATCGCCAAACAGCCTGTGTCTACAGGAGAGAAAGCCAGACTGTAGGCAAACCCACCAAGGGAAGGCAGGGTCCAGCAGCACTCCAGGGTGGCCATGTCCCAACATTTTACCTGAAAAGATGAAGGGTTAGGGTCTTTATAAAGAAGGTCAGAGAAACGGAAAACAATCAACACTTCAAATAGGATGGGCTCAGAATACATCAGGATAATGTAACTTAACTATTCCAGTAGGAATGAGAAAAAAATAATCAGTTATAAATTGTAGAGCTCAGAGGGATCTTTATTCCCTAAGATGCCAAGTGAATTGAGAGCCCAATAAACTAGAACCCAGGCTTCCTATTTCCCAGAGTTCAGTGGCCTTTCCACTCTACTGTATCACTGTATTACAGCATTGGTAATTTTCTCATTTGGCAGACTCAAAAAAAAAAAAAGATACAGGTGCCTCAGGACAGTGGAAGAATCAGAATCGTTATCTTCAAAAGCAAAGTATTTTATCATAGCCAGTGGAAGAGGAGTGCTGAGTTTTTAATCGTCACTTGTTTAACAGTGACTTGGAAGAGAACGGTCTGTCAAACAAGCCTAGCTTATTGTAAAACAGAAAGGTGTCTCAAGTAAAGCCGATTGTCTCTTACAGAGACTGCGCCAAGAGGAGATGGCTCTGCTACCTGAACGATAGACGAGAGTATCTGAAAGCTAAGGCTTGATGATCTCGCACAGCCTTCCATGGACACATCTACTCTTCCTTGTTGTACCTGCTTTAACAAAAAGGCATCTTGGTCGTTTATCAGCTTTCCCCTACTTTTCTGCTGCTAATGTATTTAATGCCAATCAGTAACTCTGAAATTGGAACGCGGGGGCAAGGTGAGGTGTGAGAAATAATGTACGGTTTGAAAAAGCCCTCTAATCCCATGCAAGTCCTCAATCACTGCTGTACAGTGCTGAATGCAAAATAAGCTGTTCTTACATCTCTGTCCATTGATGTGGAAAGCAGCAGCTGTTTGTCATCTTCAGTTTGTAGAGGACATAAATTAAACACAATTCTTGAATGATTCTGCCCTTCTGATGAAGCACTAAAGAGGGTATATTTCCGTCTCCAAGACTGAGTGAGATCCCATAGTAGCAGTTCGCCTCTGTGAAGGAAAAACAAGTATTAGTTCTCTTTCATGAGCAATCTGAAAACAAGTGATTTTGGGCCAGAGAGTGTGGGCCCTCAGCTGCAAAATAATTTCTGTTCATTACATATTCTGAAATAGGCACAAAATAATCTCTGGAAAAACACACACAAAAACAAAAAAAAGTCACTGCCTATGGAGAGGGGAACCAAGTAGTGAAGACAGAGGTGGAGAGGGAGCTTTGGAGTTCCCTGGTGGTCTAGTCATTAGGACTTGGTGCTTTCACTGCGGCAGCCCAGGTTCAGTCCCTGGTTGGGAAACTGAGATCCCGCAAGCTGTGTGGTGTGGCCGAAATAGTAAAAAAAAAAAAAAAAAGGGAGCTTTACTATATCCTTTCATTCTTTTTGAATCATACAGTTGTACTGGACTACCTTTTGAACAGATTTTCCTAAAAGCTTTAATTATAAAATGCCACCATAATTTGCAGAGCCACAAAGGCTTTAAGACATAGTATGTCTTTTTTGGAGCAGTGGGGATAGTTGGGATGTGACTAACACTTTGGGGTATTTCTATATGCTTTGCCTGTATTACCTCATTTAAAAGCAGGGAACTTGTCTGTTAAATTCACTTACCATCTCAAGCAACTAGAAGCTGGTGCTCAATAAATTTTGATTAATGAATGGCCATAATCATCCTAAGAGAGAGGAAACACTTATATCCTCCCCTTTTTTCATGTGAAGTCACTGAAGCTCAGAAAAGTGAAGGGTCTTGCTTATGAACAGCCGGTAAGTAACAGATTGATTCTGAAATTCAGTTCCGCCTGACTTCAGAGTCCACACTTAACCACCAGGCCGTACTTATTTGATCTTTTCACAACTCTTATTAGACAGCACAGGTATTAGTTCCATGATTTTTCCATTACAAATGGCCCATTATAATATAAACCTTAGTCACTGCTTTCTCCATCTTCTGTGTCTAGAAAGAAAGGCCTAGGAATTCCTGAGGCTAGAGAAGAGAACAAAATATGTCAGAGAGCATGACCAAAAAGACTTACCCAAAACAGCTGGATACCAGCTGTGTTGGCTGACCCTTGGGCCAATGGAGTGTCAACCAAAGGCGCTCTTTAACAGTTGGGTCTATACCCCCTCCTCTTCTCTTCAGAAAGGGCAATTTCAAAGTCGTCACCACTGCAGATTAAAAGAAGGTCCATGGACAGTCAAGACAATGAAAGTACATGCATGAAGCCACCAGCAGTTCACAACACAGTTCACGTTTAAAAGTTTGTTAGTTTGGTTGCTTAGAATTCAGACCTCATGGAAATTTACGCATATAGTCTAGCACATTTTGGTCAAACAAGCTCTTACAGGCTGTCTCGGCAACTTAAACATTAAGAATATGGTGTGGGGCTTCCCTGGTGGCACAGTGGTTGAGAGTTCGCCTGCCAATGCAGGGGACGCGGGTTCGTGCCCCGGTCTGGGAAGATCCCACATGCCGCGGAGCGGCTGGGCCCGTGAGCCATGGCCGCTAAGCCTGCGCGTCCGGAGCCTGTGCTCCGCAACGGGAGAGGCCCCAACAGTGAGAGGCCCGCGTACCGCAAAAAAAAAAAAAAAAAAAGAATATGGTGTATCTGGGAAAATGAGGTTCCAACTGGGATTGAGAACCCAGGTGGTAACACAACCCAAGATTCTTCAAAGTTGGAAGGACAGAGAGTAGGATTCCATCTTCTAGCTGGCAAGAAATCCGACAACGGGGACAAATTTGGCAGTTGCGGTGGTTAAGTTCTCCACTCCTGACATGCTACTGACCAGATGTTCTTAGTCCCTACTGTGCGTGAGAACTACCACTGGTGCTTCTAAAAATACATATGCCAGGGCTCTACCCCTAGAGATTCTGATTCAGCAGATTCGAGGTGGGGTGTAGGCACCTCCAGCTGATTCTGCTGCATGACCAGAATTGAATACCATCGTATTAGACATCTGTAAGTCCAGAGATTACCCTTTTGGAGGGATTCCTAGCCCGATGTTGTCCCCAGTAGGGAGTATCAGCCAAAGTGTGTCCAAGAGCAGTCCACAAACCTTAAAAAATTCTGCTTTCCAAAATTATACTACTAGGTACCACTGACTGAACCCTAACTATGTGCCAAGCACTGTGCTACTTGCTTTACGTGTACTAATTCATTTGGACAAAGATGAAAAAACTTCCATGGTTTTACATAAATTGGAGAAAGAAGACTGCTGCAAAGAGAAAAGGTAGATTTTTACTGTAAAGGTAGAATTCAGTCTGCCTGGAGTTCCTCTCAACCTATTCAATATAAACTTAAGGTAAAAGTTCTGTTCGAAGAGAAGCTTGGGAAAGCTATATGACTGAGGGTCTCTGTAATTTGGGTAAAGTGAGCTTTTACATTTAAACAGGTACTTCTATATTAGGTATACATTATTAATTCTGCATTTGTGCATTAAAAGCTCTAGCTCTAGAGATCTTTTCCATCCATTCCTTTGATCCAGGCCTTGCCAAATTCAGATATTCCCATTCTCATAATAAACATCTTGCCCTCCAGGCCAGACAGTGATCTTTCTGTGAATGCAATAGAAAACCTCATTGCCAACACCAAAGCCAGATGTTCAGAGTGCAGAGAGCTCTAGCCCAGGCTAAAACTTTCTGGATAGAAAAGTAAAGAACTGCCTTCTGACAGATGACACACACCGAGGATAACAAGAAATAATAAGCTTCTACTTCTACTGGATTGATAATAGGTTATATCACAAAGGAAATGTTAAATGTCAGTCTTACCTCGGCCTCTAGAGCAGCTCCAGATACGAATGGTCTGATCTTTGCTTCCAGTGGCTAAGTAGCAGCCTTTTTTTACTGGAGTTTGTGCTATAACTTTCCCATTGGGGATTTCAAGTTCTTCTAGGGTAGAGATGGTAATTTTGTTTTTAATTTGCATTAACATGCACTTATCAAAGAAAAATTAGTTTGCAAGGGTTCCTGAAACTTAGTTACTGTTTTCATAGATTTGATCTGTAAAATCTAGTTTTAAACATAATTCAAATTGTACTATTCTACCTAATTTGTTCTTTAGGTCTAAAGAGTACTGAACCCTCTTAAATCATCTCTACCTGAATTTTCCTCTTGATTTATGAATAAACAATCTTCACCAGGCAGGGGGCACCAGGCTATGGAGTGGATCTCATCATCGTGGCCTCGAAGCCTGTGTATAACTTCTCCTTTCTTGCTGATGTCAATTATAACCACTATGCCATCCTTGTAGCTAAAAAACGAGAGTTAGAAATATTACTGAAAAATGAAGACAGACTGTCTTTCTAGGAAACATTTTGGCTTAGGACTTATTGTGCATTTCTAAAAGTTAAGTGCATTTGGGGTGGGGGGAAGGAAAAAGAGTAAGAAATAATCTTGTTCTGTCCTTATTCCAAAGTACTTATTTCATGTTTTCCAGTTTTTAAAAAACCCTCCCCCATGCCAAACTCCTGGCATTAAGTTATACTATACACATTGCCTGTCACGAAGCTCAAACAGTGGACCATGACTGTGCCCAAGGGGAACTTACAGAAGAATACTTCTGACAGGGGCCCAGCAATTTCCCTAACTGGAAATGAATTTGTCCTAATAAACTAAAAATATCTCCTTCCTTTTACAAATGATCTTTTCTAACAAAAGCTGCAGAATTCTAACTTCTAGATCTGGATATTCCAAGGCTGTCATTTTTTGAATTCGGAAGAAACTTAGAAATTGTTAATAGTTTTGTTTTTTCTTTTTTAATGATGAAGTATTTCAGATACAAGAAGTATCTACTCTCTAGCTTAAGAAAAAAAATATTACCAATACAGCTGAAGTCCTCTGTACATCCCACCCCAATCAAACCTCTCTCCCTTTCTTCCCCAGAAGTAAACTGCTATTCCTCAATTTTGTGTTACATTAATCCTAGCCTTTCTTTGTATATATTCCTAAATAAGATACAGAATTACTTTGTACATTTAGAAACTTCATATAAATGGTATCATGTTGTCTGTTTTTCTGTAGCTTGCTTTTTTCACTCATTCTTTTTGTGGCATTCATGCTGACACATGTAACTCTAGTTCCTGGTCAGTCGTTTGTACTATTGCATAGTACTCCACCATATGAATATACCACAAGTTTAGTTACTCATTTTCCTTTTGAAGGGCTTCCATTTTTTTTCTACCATTACAAACAAAAAATGCTATTAAGAATTTTATACACACTTAAGCCAGTTTCAGGTTTGATGCCTAGTAATAGGATGTTAAGATATACACATTTTTGCTTTACTAGAAAGTGCAAAACTGCTCTCCAAAGTGGACATACCTGTTTACATTTCCTATACACTAGACGGTCCTACAGGGAAAAATACCACTACAGCTTTATTTATTAAAAATTTTTTTCCCCCATTACAGCTTTATTTAAAAAACATGAAATCATAGAATATATCAAATCTTTGAAGACACAGACTTTGAAAACCATCAAGATATATAACCTAATAGTCATGTGATCAACCTGTTTTACAATTTCGGTCAAGACTTCAGGGACTGTTTTGAACCTCTAAAAACAAATTCTGATTCAATCCTGTTTGATTGTCTTCCACCTGAAAGACTCTTCTTGTGAATTCCTGCTCATCTTTCAAGGTCAGTTTGATTCACGCTTCTCTGACCCCTGCCTACCGCCCTTTCTGCTCCCTCTCTTGTACTTCCACCAAGACAATGCTCCCATTTCATGGAGACCTCCGATCACAGACCCCTTCCGTTTTCACTGTTAACTCACCCACACCTGTCTTCCTGTCCTTTGCCCCATGCAGTGCAGATTTCATGATCCATCATTATATTCACTCCTTAAAAAACACCCTTATCTCCTTTGTTCCCCCTTTATCTCAGGGGTATTTACTCCACAAAACCCCAAACCTGGTTGAACCCCACCATTTCCTTTGTCAACCAGTTTGAGTAGTTTACTTAAAATTCATGACCACAATCCTTGGCTTGGCACTCAACCAGGACCACAGGACCTGCAGTTTATCTCAGTAAGTTCATTTTCCTCTTCTCTGAGATGACTGTTTACATACCCTCTTCCTGCATCCAGCTCCTTCCCCACCCTGAACTTGACTCCACCTCTTTGACTTCTTCTCCACCTCTTTCTGCCTCACTAAGAAAATCAGCAGCCATCAGAATGAAACACCCTCCTCTTCCAACAAGATCTGTGAACCTTCTTGCACCTATTTCCACATTCTTAGCTGTTCTTTCTACTTGTGGTCTGGATCCAGTTTCCTCTTGACCTCCCATTATCACTCATGCATTCTTCACTGTTCACCCCTGCCACAGGCTCCCCCTTTTCTGCCTCAGCATCAGCATAAAAACATGCCTTTGTTATCTTCCATTTAATACTCCCTTGACCCCCATACACCTCCTCTGGCTTCATGTCTATATGCACGTTGTCACAACGAACTGTGGAAACGTTGTCTCCATGTGTATCTACCTCACCTCCCAGTCTCTTGAATCCACTCCAGTTGAATTTTCTCCTCCTACATTCTTGTGCTTATGTCTAGTATTCAAACTAGAGAGACTGAACATCTTTGGGAGAGAAGTAAATGGAGTGGTGAAGGAGAGGGGATTGTGCTCTCAGGGAGCTCGTGTGAAACAACCTTGGTGATCACTGGGGAGACAGATCCCAATGCCAGATCGCTTTCCCAATTGAGTGGGAGAGCTGAGAACCAGAGACAGAGCTGAGTCATTTGACACTTTGGGAGTAAATGTTATAACCAAGGGTAAGTATGGAGGGAAAAAAGATGAAAGAGGACATTTCTGACATTTGGAGGTTGACTGAAGAAATCAGATATGAAGAATGAGTAAAGTACAGTATCATGGAAACCAAGGAAACAAAAATAGAATGGGAGAGACAATGAGGACCCAGAGGTCACAAGAATAAATGATACCAGGGGTGAAGGGAGAGTGGTTAGTACCTGTAAATGGTTTCCTCTGAAGAATAAAGGGACAGGAGAAGGTAAAGAAAATGCAAAATAAGATCATAAACAAAAATAGATCATCAGTGCAGATGGCACAGTACTTACCCAATGGCTACTAAATCTTCATGATGAGGTGAGCAAGTAAGACAGAAAATTGTCCTGGGTTCTATAAAGAGGTGCTGGCTGTCATTTCTGTTAAGCCAGTAACAGAAAACTACTCCTTTTTCATCTCCAGATACCAGTAAATCCTTTACTAGAGGAGACCAATGCAATGCTGATATTGTATGCTTTAAAACAAAACAAAGATATCTTTGCTTTTCATTTGTCAATGCTGAACTTTTTTTACTTAGTTTTTAACCTGTATAATGCTAGGCACATTATAGGTACTTAATAAATACTGTTAGGACCACTTGTAGAGCAAGACTACATTATAACCAAATGAAAGGAGAATTTAGGCTACTGGGGATCAAAGAGCCATTTAAAAAATTTCTTCCTTTGATAGATTAATGCAAAGTTCTTACTAAGATTAACTGAGTCCTTTCCTACATTCTCTAGGCAGGTATATCAATTAATCATCTAGTTTGGAGACAAGTTTCATTCACTTACAGTTTATATCAGGAGTCTTTTTCATGGTAAAGTGCCAGAGAGTAAATATTTCAGATTGTGTGGGCCATACTGTCTCTGTTGTAACTACTCAACTCTGCCACGGTAGTGTGCAAGCAGCCAAGACTTAAAATTGTAGACAGTACTTAAATGAATGACTGTGATTGTATTCCAATGAAAGAATTCGCAAAAGCAGGCAGCAGTGCAGTTTGCTGACCTCTGATTTATATGTATCTCCTTCCAAAAAAGTTTTGAGGTACCTTACAATATAGAGCTTCTAATCTAATGAACAAACACAATTATAAAAGTTACCTTGCACAGATGAGCTAGCAAAACTATACTTGAAGGAAGAGAACTCTGGTACAGATAAATAATAATGGTCTGAGAAACCAGCAAGTCATGGTACCTGATGGAGCGCATGTTCCGTCACAACTGTTTTTGTCTCTACATCCCAGATTTTCACAGTCCCGTCATCAGAGCTGGTGGCGCAGAGGTTGTATTGACCCGGGTGATGACAAAACGTGAAGCCAGACACCCTTTCGGTGTGTCCCACCAACTCCCCTATGACTTCAAGCAAAACCGACTCCAGATTAAAGTGCTACCTAGGATTCCAGGCAGAATCCTTCTGTTGTTAGATGGTGATTGGGGCCTCACTTATCCCATGGAATAACAAACATTTCCAGGGACTCACAATCAGAAACCCCAACTGCTGGTATTGGCTCTGCCACCTGACTTCAGACAAGTCTTTTTATCTTCTTGGGTCTCAGTCTTCTCAACTGTAAAATACCATTCATATCACTTGATGTGCCTAGTTCTTAGGCTGAGGAGCAGCTCAAGTGAAGAATGTAAAAGGGATTCCTATTTAGATCTGGCCAGAAGTCATTTGGAAAAGAATAAGTATCTGGCATACCATATCCCAAGGCATAATCAAAACCTAGTTTAGAGCCTGAAAGCATCCGGCTCAAGTCATTCATCTTACAGAAATGAGTATCATATTTGCAGGATCTCTCTTAGGACCTGGAGCTGTAGGCAGCACCCAACCCCAGGAAGGCTCTCAGGGGGCCCGCACGCACTGGGTTGGGGAGGAAGGGCTAGGTGTTATAAATTCCTGGCGAGACACATGGATAACTCTTCAGTAAGCCAGCGGATCCACGTGAGAGCGCCAGGAGGCGGGACCACTCAGCCGCAGCGTGGTGTACAGCCAACCTCGGAGACCGGGACACGACTCAGTTTAGATGACTGTGAGCGGACCCTTCTCCCTGCCCGCGTCTCAGTTTCCCCATCAATAGAGAGGGGGGGGTGGCTGGACACGCTCACTCGGCGCCCCCGGGGAACGCAATTAGTGCAGGAAGGCTGGGGCCAAGAGGTGGGGAATTACCTCGAAATGGAGACGTCCCTGGGATCACGTCCGCTCCCGGGCCCACGCGGACAAGGAAGACAGAGGTCCGCGCCGCGAAGCCGAAGAGGCCCCCGGGCACGGCATCGCTGCATCGGGAGCAGTACCAGTTAGGGGAGGGCGGCAGCGTGCGCGGTTCCTGTCCCATGATCACGAGCAACCGGGGATGAGGAAGACAGTTCGTAGCCCTACGCCGGAGACGGGAAGGGGGCGGGGTTAATTTAGAGCCCCGCCTCCTGGGGCACGCCGCTACGGCGCGCGCGGAGGTCCAGGTCTCGCTGCGCGCGCCGCTCCTGCGGCCTCGGGGCTGGGAAAGGCTGGGCCCTGCGGGCGGCTTTTTGCCCCACCAGTGCCGCCTGCGGCTGGAGGGTCTGGTGCTGCTGGTTAGGTATTCTCATTTGCTACAGCAAGGAAGGTTAATTAAGAGGTTAGAATGATGGAGTCACCTCCCCGCACTGCTGGTTTATTCTCTGGACCTGTTCAACCCTGTCCCATCAAATATTTTTTTAAAGCTATGTGCCGGGGCGCCTTGGTAGCTCTGGAGATGCTTTAAACGTATCTACAAGAAGACAATTAACAAAGATAAAAGTTCGAATCAGAAATCAAAAACAAGGGTTTCTGCAACTGGGTGGAAATTCTGGCTCTGGTTTTTGATACTCAAGAAGCAGCAGAATAGAGTGACTCTCTTTTGATCTGATTAAGTGCCAACTCTATGAAGGGACTGTTTGTGTTAAGTGCTGTGGAGGAAAAAGAACCAAAGTTTCCTTCCAACTCAAACGTCCTAAAATGCTCAGTTTCTGCGCTTACACTCTTCTACTCCGTATTGCTTGTTTGCATTGGATACCAGGAACTCTTGCATATGTAGCAAACGAAACCAGAGCTATCTATGCTAATGAAAAAACAAATATATATATATACACACATACATTTACTTATTCGGATGTGGGTAGGAGCACTAACTTTGGAGGCACCCAACCCTAGATTGACCACTGTTTTTGCCAGGTATTATCTGAGAGACGTTAACCTATCCTAAATCTTTTTTCTCAGTTGAAGACCTGATAATACAGGTCTGGTTGGATTGCTGTGAGGAATACACGAGATTTAGTGAAATGCCTGCTGGCCATATATGGTAGCAAGTTCCTGCTGATTATTAACTCTTATCTCTTGGAGGTCAACCTGGAGATTAGCATCATACTTTGTATTTGAACTGTTTGTTCTTTATTTTTATTTATTTATTGAAGTATAGTTGATTTGCAATATTAGTTTCAGGTGTATAATATAGTGATTCACAATATTTAAAGATTATACTCCATTTAAAGTTATTATAAAATATTGGCTATATTTCCTGTGTTGTACAAAATATCCTTGTAGCTTATTTATTTTATACATAGTAGTTTGTATGTTTGTTCTTTAAAAGAGCTTTCACACAATCTTTAGTGATCTTCACAAGCCTGTGCCGTAGGAATACTTAGTTCTTTTGAGAAAACTGAAGCCCTCCCAGGTTAGTTGGCTTGGGTTCACGGTCTCTGTTTTCCAAATCCTTTCAGACCATTTGTGAGGTGAGGCTTCGCAGTTTTTCTGGATCCCGACGAATTTTCGGAAACTCGCTAGTCTTTGACCTTTGTTAAGTAATTCTTTCCCAAGCAAGGCTGATCTGACCACACCTTAAGCGCCGGCCGCGTGTTCACGGTCTCCATGACAACACCTCGGGTGTCAGTTGCGGCTCGGTCTCGCGATAAGAGGGGGGTTAAGTCCGGAGAATTGCGCATGAGTCTTGCCCACACGGCCTCTGAACTCGGAGGCTTCCGTAGAGGGCGGGAGAAAGATGGCGGCGGCAATACTGGATCGTTTGGGTAAGGATTTCTTGGTGGGTGGAGGGAGGGAGTGAGGTGGGAGTCTGAATTGATGGCGTGTGTTGATATTGCAGGTGCGTTATGGATGCAGAATCTGAGGGGGAAGCTGGCCTTGGGGTAAGTCTTTCGCCTTGGAGTTGGGGAAGGGTCCAAGCCTTAGTCTTACTAGTCTGAGTTACTTAGACCCTAAGTGCCAGGCTCTGCTTTAGGCTCTGAGGCTAGCGAATGAGACAGCCAGTCTCTGCTTTGCCACCCTGTGTTTTCACCTCCGTATTGCATAGCCCTGCGGGTATCAGGATTATCTATGACCGAAGAGACGTTGTAAATGTCTTTTCTGAACACTTCTTTTTGATCTTTTTGGATATGGTTAGCTTCTCCCGCCCAAATTGGGAGCGTACTTTTCTAGTTATCTCTGTAATTATTTGCTTATTACGGGCAGGGACTGTATTGTAGACAGGTGCGGTTTACATCGTGCCTGACATTGTTAAAATCTTTGTACGCCTTATCTCTTTCTCACAGCATCCTACGTAGTGTAGGTACTGCTATACCCATTTTTTCAGACAAGGAAATTGAAGCCCTCAAAGTAAAGTAAGTTGCCCAAGGTTCGTCAGTTACAGGAATTTTGAAGCTTTATACTATATTTTTAGAGCATTCTTTGACCTCAGGACAAAGCGTTAAGATTAGGGAATGCAGCTGAAGTCAGTACTGGCAAGAGGCTTTCTCTGCTCCCTTCTCGTTCTTCTTCTGTAGTACAGCTGTGGCTCTTTGGAGGTTGATAATCTGATTGTAAATTTTCTGATTGATGTATTTGTTAACATTAATTTTGGTTTAGTCCATAGACTTTGGAGACAGATAAGTTGAGTGTGAGTCCACATTTTAACTGCGATTTTGGAAAAGTTACTTATTCTTTCTAAGCTTCAGTTATCTTCTATGATATGAGAGGAAAATTAGTACTACCTCATATATTTTTAATCAGGATTAAATGAGATAATGCTTATGAAGTGTTTTGTACAGTGCATGGTGTATAATAATCCCGCCCTAAATCTTAGCTTCCATTAGTGTTTTTATCATTATAAACTACTATTGAGTTCCCATTATATCTAGCTTTGTCTTAGATTCTCGGCTCAAGGGAGGAAGAGGTGGGCTAAAGAAGAAAGTAGGAAGTACTGGCACTTAGGATTTGTCTTCACTGCTTTCGTAGATTATCTTCTATCACCCTACCCCCAACCATGCTGATTTACTTACTTTTTCTGAGTATGCTGTGCCTTTACTTGTTTCTTGGTTTTTCATAATTTTCTCTCACTTTCTGTCAGTAACAGCAGTCCTCATTATTCAGACCCCTCTTTAACTGTTTCCCCTTCATGATCTCACTAAAAATGAAAGAAATCAATTTCTCCTTTCCTTTAGTATGTGTTCCTTAAATAATGGCTTCATGTATATGTGTCTGTGTCCTTTGCTACCTCGTGTGTCCTGGACAGTTAGGGACACTTCTTGTTTTTTTTGTAGCTCCAGTATAGGGTCTTGCACAAAGTGAATATTTTGTTGATTTTTGTTGATTTAAATTGTCCCACACTGACTTATATTGGGAAGCTCTGAGCAAGTAACTAAAGCAGCTTGGCTTCAGTCTTGTCATCTGTGTAATACAAGAGGGTTGGATTTTGCTAGGTAGTCTTGGAGGCTCTTTCTAGTTTTGAAGTTATATAATTTTACAAGTCCCCATTCTGAACTTTCTAGTGGGGAAATGACCACATGAAAACTAAGTAGAAAAGGCATAACTAATGCTTATAATGACCGTGTAAAATTTTAGAGATATCTAATTCAGTGGTTGGAAACTTAATTACATACCAATTGCCGGACAGGTAATAGAAATGAATGAACTAGCAGAAGTGGTCTTTGTAAAAAGAGAGTGGTAGGGCCTGTGGCAGTCGTAGAGTGCATTCCTCCTCTAAAGGCATTGAATTGGATTAAAAAAATGCTGCGACCAAATAAAACTTTTCTGCAGGCTATATTTGGTAGCAGATTGACAATTTCCAACCTTTGAATTTCAAGTCTCCCATTTTACTGATGCATGCATTTGGGAATTTTTGTGACTTACTGAAGGTTACATGGCAACCCTAGGATCTAAACAAAAAATTCTCTGCCTTAAAATAGTGCTGTATCACATCCTGGGAGGGACTGAGTGATGAGCCCTGAAGGGGTTTGTCGGAGGAGTCTTTCTGGAAGAGGTGAGTTTAAGTTTAAAGAATGAAGAGTATATTTTGGTGGTTTAAAAGTTTGAAGGCACTGGTTACTAAGCTGTACATAGGTTAAAATTCTCCACAAGAAAACCCAAGTTGGAAATGTCGTGAATCGGCAGTTTGGTGGATAAATGATAACAGTGTGATATATTTGAATAAATACTGGGCTTCAGGTGATAGAGCTGGACTTCGGGTCTCTGTCAGGGACAAGTATTGCGGTCTTGGGCCATTTGCTTAACTTCTGTGAGGCTCAGTTTCCTCATATCAAAAAATGAGGATAATATTTAACTTCAAGGGTGGTTGTGAGAACTAAGAGACTAATACGTAAAATGTCTATTTTAGCACCTGGTACTGTGGAGGTGTTTTGACTGGGGATGATATTGCTGTGAAGTTGTTTGAGAGGAATCGGATTTAATGCTGGAACCAATCAGTAGTTACTCAACACTCTTAGATGAGATTACATATTTCATCTATCAGCCCCACTTTTGTAGAACAACTGGCAGGAAGGTAAGAAACTGAAATATACATTAGCCTATTCAGTTGAGTCACTCTTAAGAGACTTTTCCAGTGTAAGGGGTAGTAATTACCTCTTGTTTTCATGCATCCATGCTTTCAGTGTTCTGATTGCCATGGCCAGCAGATTTGACAGCCCCGCTGATTTGTGCTCTCTTAAATAGATCTTATCCTATGATCTGAGGGCTTGTGATTCCTTGCCCTTTAGGACAGTGGTTCTTAAATTTGAGTCACAGACCTCTTTGAGAGTATGGCGAAGGCCACAAGAAATGTTCCCAGAAAAATGCATATCGCATTCATAGTTTGGCTTGTAATTTCATAACCCTTAGTGTAGGAATCTTTGCCCTGGGACATCATAACTAAACAAAAGGACAATAATGATACACAATAATAAATGTAACTACACAGTAATGATTAGTGGTGTAAAGTATGTTGGAAAATGTGTCAGGCAGTGACCCTTGTGTTAATGGGTGAAATATTTTCCTCAATATATTTTGAAAAATTTCCGTCGTATAGGAAAGTTGAAAGATTACAGTGTCCTTCAGCTGGATTCATCAGTTGTAAACATAACTCTATAAATATACATGCTTTTTTCCCTGAATCATTT